ATTAATATTAACGAAATATTGCTTCAATACATCATTTTGCACCCATCGAAATAATTATTAATTCATGAATAATGCATCTGAATATCATTCTGGATTATCACTACTTACGTTTTCATCAATTAATAACATTCTAACCCTATTAAATGAGTCATTTTCTTGCATGAAAATTATAAGAAAATCACTCCATAGCTCAACTTCTATGTATCAAAAAATTCACTAAGACATAGAGAATTGTTCAGATAATCTTTTTAGCTCGTTTCAACGTAGCTTTTCTTCACGAAACAGGATTCTAAGCATCTTTCATTACGGATCCAACCACACTTTTCTTCGACGAAAATCACTCCAAAGCTCAACCTCGACGCATCGAGAAATTCACTAAGACATAGAGAATCGTTTAGATAATCATTTTAGCTCGGTCGAACGTACATTTCCTTCATGAAACAGGATTCTGAGTGATATCCAAAAACGATTTAGTGGCAGATAAAATAATTAATATTATGTGTAAGCAAGATTCCGGTGCCCGCAAAAGCGTTTGTTGGTGATTTGAAATGATGCTTTCGGTCTTGTCAGACCGAGTAAACTCGTGTGTAACGAGTTTTAAATTATGTCGAGTTGCATGAACGAACAATATAGTATGCGTGTATAGCAAGTTTATCATGCGCTGGGTAATCATAAATAGCTCTGGATTTTGCGTTAGACCAGGAGTCGATCGTGGAGTCAGATTATATTAGCGGGAGTTATGATAAACGACTTGAGTGAGATTCATTCGGATCGATAACGGCGCTCACCATAAATAAATGCGTGATCATGTCGCTAATTTGGATCAATTTTTCATAAACAACCTATTGGGTGGACTATAATTTTCAATTCATGACTATCACCGGTTGTATGAGTTGTTAAGTATCAGTATGAATGAATCACAAGATGTTCCTTTGGTATCCGTTAATTGCATGCAGACGTTTTCAGTCGGAGCTGTGTTGTGGGAAGCGGCTAAATCCGGCGAGTAGGATCGTCCGGTTCTGATATGATCCGACGTGTTCCAGTGATACTAATTAAACCGGATCTTCCATGCAATGGAGCGTCATGCGGCATGACGGATTCCGGTAAAGTTTCGTTACCGGATATTGTCGGATCACGTCGTACACGGCCCGACAAGAACCGACTGATCGATAATGATCTGGGTAGAGCCTGTTCCGTAAGATCCGCAACCTAATCCGAATTGATCAAGATCTAATTCTGCATCTGGTTAAATCTATTAACACCTAAGAAGATCCTTAATAGACATCCATACCAGTCGTGATGCTATTTGTGTATGTACTGGTTCTCTCTGTACAAAAATAGACTTGTTTTATTTTCATTTTCATGGTAAGTTTAAATGATTACCATGAAAGTTGAAATCTTGGTTAAATTCAAACTTCGTATAACTAAGTATCATTGAAATAAAAGCTTTTAGTATAACTTCTGTGCGATCACAATGTAAAACATGTCGAAACTGCTTTTTAAATAGCGTCTTACAGGATTTGTAGTTGTCTGTAGGAATTACGGGACTGTCTACTCTATGTATATACTACAAAATTCGTTTTAGATAATATTGCACAGAAAAAGTTTATATATATATAGAACACCACAAAATAGTATTGATGTTTTGCCTATTTTACCACCAATCTATGAAGAACTCATATTGTGAATGTTGTGAAATATTTCCATTTATGATCATACCAACAACCACATGTATACAAATGAGTAACAAAATCTGTATAAACAAAATAAATAAAAATAAATTTTTTTGTTATTGAAGAGCTAACAGCAACTATGTAATATTTTTCACCAATAGAACAAGGCCCTAGTGAAACATTTTGTAAGCAAGATGTTGGTCACGGCAAAAGGTGCAGATAAATGAACAGATCTTGCAAAATCTAAGGTACAGATTTTGAAGGACTTCATCAGGTATTTGAATTTGCGGCAATAATTCACTTTAACGGGAAAATTGTGAATTCCGATCCAAATAAAAGATGCAGTGGTATGACAGTATAGTGGTAAAACGACATTCATCGGCGGACACATGGATATCCTTACCGATATCTTGAAGCATTCTGATGTAAATCTGAAGGGCACTCTCAGCTTATCCCACTAGTTTTTGATTTTGTTAGAAAATCAGAATCTTTTTGTGAAAATGAACTTCCCGCAAATTTAAATGCACAGGCATATGTCTTGACGATCATTGGGTAATATCGTGCTGTCTGGTGCTTATTTGATATTGATATATTATTTATTTGAACGTTTACTGTAAGGTAAGTTACCATTATATATAAATGTAGTTTAACATGAGATTTTTAATTCAATTTCTAATAAAGCACTAATTAACGTAGAATTAGTTGAATCCAAAATATCTTCTATTTTGTGGAACTCACATATATTTTCGAAGAAAATAGTGAGTGTAAGTTGAATTGTTAGGTTTTTGCGGCTCCTCAGTACCCCCCCTCCCCATTACAGACATAAAATATAAAAAAATTAACACTTAGATGTACTAATTAGAAACTTTTTTGGTACAGGTCGATTGCCTACGTTCACCACTACTCACACAGTAATAAAAATCTAGTTTCACTAATTAGAAATCATCAAAAATTAGGATTTAATCTCTAATTAATCATCAAAATCTGTCACTTTTATGATTATAGCCCATAGTTACGACAGTATTATATATTTTTATTATTACAGACGTTAGTAACGAGTGTATACTACCGCTACAGAAGCTAGCAGCTAGTTTGTTCTACTATTACACTCGTTACTTCTACCATTTACAATAAACAGATGAAGATTTTAATCTTTCTTTTTTCTCGCACAAATACCTTATTCTAGAGCTTGAATCCACTTTAGTGTATTTACAATTCGCAAATTTTCCATCCACTGGGACGCTTTTATCAAATTTTCGTTTATGAAAACATGTATCAATTTCTCACCTAGTAATCCGAAAAAATATAAAATTTTCAACAATATTGATAACTATATCCTAAATACTGTTTAAACTATTATCATTAAGAATATCTCTCAATGAAACCACTAAACACTTAGCATAGTGGCATATTCTAAAAAAAAGTATTTTATACGTTCTCTCTAGTAATATTTCCTATTGATAGATCCAATAAATTTCAAATGTTAAAAGGGTTTTATTATCTTATTTTTGAACGAAATATGTGAGTACCACCCTTGTCCAGGCTCAAAACACTTCTAAGTAATGCCCTTATGGGATTATTAAAAATTTCTGAGTATCAACTATAGGTAGGCTCATAATAGCTATAAGAGTCAGTTCTGGTCTGATCTTGGATAGGTACTAAAGATTCTAAGTAATATCTTTGGGTCGGTATTTATTACGTTAATAATTATTACACGTTGTTACTTATCAGTTGTTGCTTTTATTAGTTTCAATTTCTTTAAATTTATTACTGGTAACAAAATAATAAAAGTAATAATAATTAGGAATATACCGCTCGCGCTCATGAGCGTAGGCTGTACACTCCTATGTTGCATGCTACTTGATTTTTAAGTATCGAAAAATTCATCGGAATTGACTAATATGTCAATCTAATCAGTTCACTTATGCTTCTTACTCGAAAATCCTATTGAATCCTGGTGGATCCGCTTTTCCCCCCTTGGGCTAAGCAGTCGTATATGTAAGGGAATAAACGTCCTAACTATAACATGACCAAACCCACACTTTTTTCTCTTTTAAAATATTTAGCTGATCCCATGTCGCTCAAACCGATCGAAAACCGTCGGTTAACCGCGGTCAATTTTTATAAAAATCGGTTAACCGCGGTTATTTAAGCCATTTTAGCGACTTTACAGCGTAAAGACCAACGGTTAACCGCGGTTAACCTCCCAGTTAACCGAATAAGTCATCGGTTATGTCGCTAGCTGGCGGTTATTTTTCCGGTTAACTGGGAGGTTAACCGCGGTTATCCGATTTTTATAAAAATGGACCGCGGTTAACCGACGGTTTTCGATCGGTTTGTGCGACATGGGATACGACAACACACAAAATTGACGTTGATAATAATAGATAATATAAACATGTGCTGATCATGATTAGGTTTTTTCTAAAAGAACAAACAAAAATGCAATTAAAACATTCTCTGTTTTTGGAATTCAAAGCAAATTCGGCTGTTTATTTCAGAAAACTGTTTGAAGTTATTTAAAATCGCTGTGCTTTTCATCAGAATTGTTTAAAAAGAAAAACGATGTCGCAAATACAGAGCAGAAAACAAATTAAAGGGTGTGGGTGTTCTTAAATAGCATGATAACTAATAATACATTCTGCAGAAAAAATCTTGGATGCGTGAAGTTGGACGTGTATCATTTTTTACCCACACCCACACCCACCCCAAATTCTGGTTAATATTATGTTTACAACGTTGTTATTTGTTAAATTATCCATCCTGATGGCAAATGTACAAGTGTATTTTAATTAGAATAGATTATTAAAGTAGTTTTTGAGCGGGTGGGTCTTTTATTGATCATTATCCACGGTTACAGCCACACGAGCCGCTATGGCTGAATGGTTAAGATGTTCGGCACATATCCACAAGATAGTGTGTTCAAACCTCGGCGCCATCATCCATAGAATAACCTTGGGCAAGTTACTAACGGCTGCTTTGTCTCGGATCACCCATCCGATAGCACGCTGATTACATGTGACATACATAAAAATATCCTCATGGATAGTATGTGGTTAGTCAGTATGCATGGGAAGCTTAAGTAATTAAGCGGAAGGAACTCTGAGTCAGGCCGGCCTTCTGTCCAGAGCTGCAGCTAGTAATAGTTGTAGGAAAAATATCGGGCTCTTGAAATTGTCTCCGGACAACACCCTATACTGAAAGGTAGCCGCAAGGCAAGGGTTTTCTTTCTTTCTTTCTTTCTTTCTTTCTTTCTTCAGCCACACCCTTGTGAAATGATAATGAAAGTAGCAAAATGTTGTAGAAATAAAATTTCAGTCACACTGTCTATCCACCTATGATAGCCAGGAAGCTGTTCAGACCACCACCCAGATTGGCTAGCCAAAAACTGATGTTATAGTTGGAACCGATCACCGTTGAGAACGATTGACTAAGATAATCTGAATATCTTACTGAGCCATCGTAGAAACTGTAGCTACCTGAATGAGGACATGTTGTTGATATGGTACCACTAGAACTAGCCGCATTCGGATTACAATAAGTATAGTATTGAGTCAAGGAATTCAATTCAAAACCACCATTTTGCCACATTTCTGTGCCGTTGTTGGTGACTGAAATGTCATCTAGACACATATAGCTAGGATCTTGGCGTAGAGCCAGTATCATTGTTGTTTTAGCCGATGTGGCAAGAAATGAATATTGATAGTATGTATAAGGAAATGGCGGTGCATTTGAAAGGTATAGTAGAGTAGTCACTGTACCACTCAGGATTGCCGTACATGTATTATTCAAAACAGCTAAATCAAAATGAAAGAAGAGTTTGCATACTTCAAAGAAACAATGATACCTTCTCTCTGAATTATATCGGATGACGTAGTGAACATGAGTCACTTTTTGTTTTTTTATTTTCCCACTGTATACTCGTGACTATTCACCCGAATTTATTCACCAAACGATCTCTATCGAAATTCTCTGAAAAAATGATACGAGAAGAGATCTCTCGATGTCGACTTTTAATGTAAAACGTTTTCTGCCAATAACTTTGATTATTTTCTGATTATTGAGGGGAATATTTTTACTTGGGTTACTCAATTTCTCATAGACTTGATCGTTTCTCGTAGTTTTTGTCATTCTACAAAGATAATGAATACGAGAGAATAGTTGGGACTTACACGATGATACATTAAATGTTGTTCTGATGACTCCCGTTGTAGTGCCTATATGTACATTATGAAAACGGGTTCCTCAATAATATAAAAAATTGTGAATGGATCTTACTGGTACTAGATGACATAATTGTAGGCGTAGACTTGATAGATGTTGACGATGCTACTTAAATGGAAATACATAGAATGAAATCTACTATTTTGTACATTATCTTAACAGTGTCTGGTTTTACTGATATTTATAACTTACCTATGACTCTTGTAGCTAAAATTCCAGCTGCAATACCACCACCCGTTAATAGCAATAGTAATAACAACAAAAGAGAGCAACACAAGCAAGAAGGAAAAATACATCCATATCTGAAAATTAATGAAAAATTTGATTCAACGTAATAACTATTTTTATCAGAGTGGTGATCCTTTCCTTTGTTTAAACTTTTTCCAATATGATTCATCATTAAAATTATTATTGTTGTCGTTGATCATTTGCTGGTTCCTATTAATATTCTGATAGGAATTTGTGTTATTGATGAAAAAAATGATTGATTCTTTCAGCTTCACGCTAACTGGTCCCAAATAAATAAATAATATGAAACGCTACAACAGTAACGTTATTCAACATGACGATCAAATAGAACAGATGGATATTTGTTTAGAAGGAAATCAAAACATTTTACTTTTGAAAGAAGCATCTTAGTGCCTTGTAAAGAATGAAAGAAGTGATTGAGTTGAGTATTTTTTCTGGCAAATATTGACTCATTCACGTTACTTGCAAAACAATTATTTCAGGCTTAACTTTCGACCGTTTTATTCGGGTGTCAATTTTGCTCAAAAGACAGAAATAAATTATAATGGTATTTATTCCAGTCGAAAGTTCATACTGTTCTCAATTTCTGTTGAAAAGATTGCCTCGAAAAAATCAGAAAATAAGTCTGAACATAGAATTGATTCACACTACAATCACCCGATTTGATCAACACCGACTTTTTATCAATGTCATTTGGATTTTGAAAAAATTCAATAGAGTTCAACATAACATTATAAACGGTGTCGAAGACAAGGACGTCACAAAGGACTCAGGTTACTTCGAAAATCTGTACTATGAACCAGCCAGTTGTATCAGCACTTCTCAGTGAATATGTTTTATCAATTATTTATATTGCTGTACTGTTTGTAAACTGGAAGATAAGATGCAACTGAGTGGAGATCTCTCTCATCGAAAATAAGATTTGGTCCATTTGTATTACATGAAAATTTTTTGTTTCTAATTCTATACTGCCTGTTAGTCGGTTTCAACCTTTAATTACTTGCTAATCAATTTTAATCATAGAAATTGATGATAGGTGCTTCTTTCGGTATTAGAAGGCGAGATTGTAATTTTTTTACGATTCTTTTTCGATTACTCATGATCATACATCATAATGTTGTCGTCAAACTGAGATGATGTAATTACATCCGTTAGAGATCAATTTACATAGTTTAAGCGATTTTAATCCGATTATGCAGTAAAGCGCGAGTGGTACTGACAACGACAATGAGATGTATACACTGGTAATCGTGATTTCCTTAAGAATGATTTTCACCGGTGGGAAACTAAGCTCAGATTTAGAATATCGAGGTGGTCATATAAAAGAAGATCAGAACCAGCAGAGTTTGGTTGGCACGGGAATGTCATAAGATGTTCCATATAGCAAATTGATCATATTAGATGGATGCTCGTGAAGATAAACTTTACTATAATAGAAAAGTTTGTTTTTTGATCGAAATGAATATACTTGTTTTCTCCGAAAGAACCTAATTAGAACTTAATAAGTCTGAGTCGTCGTCAGATAAAATAACGGTTTCATACAAATGAAAACATCATTTTAGAAAACAATCCTTTTAGTAGTGTCTTCTGAATATACTTACGTTGAAGAATAGATTTCCGTTTTTGTGGATGATAACTCAACCGATGGTATCTCCTCAATCTCGTCTCCATTTGAAAATGCGTTAAGCTTCTGTGGATAAACCTAAAATATCCTGGCAGATCCAATTATGACAACACAAATGAATACTACTCCAACCTTTCTGAATCCATGTCCCAATAGATACGGGCCATTGACTGAGTTACTAGACGTCGACATTTCAAGAATGAGGTAAGTTCGTAAGAATTCAAACTATTATGATGTCAATAGCTGAGTGCCGTTTTTTCTCTTCCTTTCATAAAAACACGAGCCTTTTCGTCAACAATAGTGCACTGATCATAAGAATATCATCCAAGGTGATCATGTAGATGTTCGGTTATTCTAGCATTGAAAAGTAATTCTGAAAATGCAATCGTAATTACTATTTACTTTAAGACGAGGATAATTGCTTTTTCATCGTTTCTTCATCATACAAAGTAAAACAAAAGTTCGTTTCAACAAGCTATCAAGTATTATTTCAAAAGATTTAGGGAACACCGAAACTCATATGCTTCCAAAAGAACAAAACCTCTATTATACAGGATGCGGGTGTGTCCAATTACGAAGTATACAAGAAGTGAAACGTCTGCTCAACATCTACATCCTCAAGAGATAAAAGTTTACGTGAAAATTGCTCCCGACAATCTGATATTCAGTTCTACAAAATAGGATCTTATGATAACATTGAAGAAGTACAAAATCAATTGGAATCATTATTTTCTCGTGCATACTCTGTATCATTCTTGAAACTTCGGTGATATCGTAAATACAGTTCTACAGATAGTCTGTTATTAAAAACTAAGAATAGATCGTTCAAGCGACTCGACCTGCAAGAATGCTATGCATCATATACGATGAACTTGTGAGTTGGTTCAGATAGCAATTGACAGTTCTACGTGATGATTCCAAAAAATACTGATGGGCTCCTTGTGTCATCATTCCATGTTGATGCTCAATCATCAAAAGTTTTCTATCTAGTTTGGTAGCCAACGGAGGAGAGAGAACAAAGATTGTGTTCGCACCCTCAAAGAAATGATCGACATAGAATGTAGAATGCGTATCTGCGAAGTTACGTTTTTCTAACTGCAGCACCGCACATCTTCTTCATCGTCGATAGTTCTTTTTTCATGCGTGCTGAAAATTAAATCAGTTCTCATTTTTTGATTTTCTTCTTTGAGTTGATATAAGGGCTAAAATCTATCAAGTTAAAAGGATAGTTTTTTATTACAACATTAAGACAATCTAACTAAAAGGAAAAGGATTAGCTCATTCGATTTTCTGCGCCAACAAATTGAATGAACAATGAATCGGTCACAACTTTGTGTTGGCAACTGTTAAAAATTTTCAGTTGAATGTGAATCTGGTCGCATGTATTTTGGAATCGTCATTGGTTTTCTGCTGCATAGCAAATATGTTTTGACCTGTTTGAGTTTTTGGAGACTGTTGATGAATGAGAATATATTTGCTTTCATGACGAAACAGTGTACTGGACAATGTGTACACATAGAAACTCAAGCATCGTACTGAAAGAGCAACCAAACCGAAGGCTAACGTTATTAACCTTGATTTGGCTATTTCAAGAGCACTGTGTGCTACAACTGGTGCCATTGCCAAGGAGAACGAAGGCACAGTGAAAATGAACACAAGTGTGTTTGGGTTAGCATCATGTGAAATAATTGACGTTCTGTTTTACCTCGATTTCGTCGAGACTGAGTTTGATTTTTTGTGGGCACTACTCGCATCTTGTCTGCTCGAATATTTTTTTATAGTCAGTAGTATAAAGAGAAGCATACAAAATGATGGAGCTACACCACATGCGATGAAATCCTAAACAACATAAAATAATTGATAGAATCCTTGTTCACTAGTACATCCGACTTGTTGATTGAGAACCGTGTAGTAGACTGGTACATGACCATAAGCAAGACATATGATGAATGCTATGAATTGTATGATACGATGAGCGTGGTGGATGCTGCTCCACGCACGGACACGCACAGATGTTGAACTGCATAAATATCTGCACAAAAAAACAGAACCTTTTCTTGAATGATCTAATTTCGTTAAATAAAGAATTCGATACTTTTCTTTATGAAAAGGACTACTTGTTTTGCAGTTTTTCATTGCTTAATCTGGATCAATTGTAGTATAAATGGCACGAGCCATTAACGTAAGCCATATACAGCTTGCTTCTCAATTAGGCAAATTCTAATTGTTAATATTGAAATCAGAAGGTAGAAAGTTTTCTGCTGAGAAAAGCCCTTCTTCTTAGAGGTCGACGTTTCACCAGTCTCTTTTTATCAAACATGGTGGTTAAAAAGTGTTGAAGTAAATAGCCATAAAAATGAATTCCTACCAAATTTTATAAGCTTAAATTCTATCGAAGGTTACCAAAATGGGAATATGTAGTTCCTAGAATCGATAACTTAGAAGTTCTCTTGAAACATAATCACAAATTTAAAGAAAAATACATTCCAACTACTGTACTCAATATGGCCCCTGTAATAAACTCAAAATGTTGTCACTCTCAACACGTCCCAAAATTATAATTTTCACAACATTTTTGAAAAATTTAATATACATTGTTTGCTGTATAAGTACTAATACTAATACGCATAAAATAGTCAACGAACAATTTCAGTTCTTGACATCAATATTCTATTTTCAACCGTAAGTGCTCTGGTGTACGTTTTTTTCAACGTTCACTATTAATTTTTGTTGTTTCCTGCCACGAAACATTCGTGATCTGGTAATGTCAGATAAAGGTTTTCCTTTAGAATCTTGATATATTTACGCATATCATAAATGTAATTACTGCCGATGGGTTGTCACCTGCCTATGTAATCGATTCGAGTGCGCTATGATGATATAGTTCTCTATCTTGTCAACTGAGTGCACTTGCATCCACAAATTCACATTTGAAGATTATTCATTTCGATTGATAATGTATCCCAGATCGGACAGTGCGGCCTGGAAACGGCTGGTTTCGGGTACTTCTGTTGATTTTGTGAAAGCAGTATTACGGTTGGAAATGTTTTGGATTCTTTCCGGTGATTTTCGATTAATTCCTGCTGGAAAGCATCGGAACTTGGAAGGAATCGGCCGAAAAAGTCCTGCCGTATTTAGTAGTGATGCCTTACGCTAACAGATCTGTATTATAAATAGAATAAAATGAGTTAATGCACTCTTCACCTCATTGATATTAGCAATACGTTTTCTGATAATGCGACTTTCTACTAAGTATAACTATCTATGCCTGTTTAAATTTTCACGAGTCAACATTGGCTTGCAGGGTATAATCTTTCATTCATTCCTTCCTTTGAGTATATTTACGACAGAATTATTTAAAACCTGTATAGACAAAAACTCCCATTTTAACCAGTTCGAACAAATATCATTCAAATTTTTACCAGCAACCGTTCAAAGTTTATCTTAGATTTAATAACTCTTAATGACTGTTGAATCCAATCAGGTCCACCGTAAATGTTGTGTTTATCAATACTTTTCTACAATTTCATTTTCATAACTGTATATCTTTCGAAAAATAATGAGTTTCTTATCAAATTTGTTTGAAAGTGTCATCCATCGAAAAATCTGAATCAACAACTTCTTTGTTAAAAATGGCGGCAATATGTTTTCTTGATTAGATATTAGAATCAATGCATATTAGAGCCAAGCCAAACTGAAGAAGGCGAAATGGAATATTTATATAATTAATAGAGCCACTACTGATGGTCGATGCCAACAGATATTGAGTGCATGGCTTTGCGCGTAGTGCGAGTCGCGTAAATACATAGATGCTCAGCACACTACCAAATAATCCAAGTGGGAAAAGGATAAATCCTGCACATCAACTGATTATTATGGAACTCCAAATAATATCGTTGATGACATCAGAAACTGCATTTGACGATGACATTTTGCTGTCGAATAATAATATGATAGAGTAGAACTAATAAAAATGACTTGATCACTCTTTATTATTCATTCTTCTTCTTCTGCCGCATCATCGCATCATCTATAAGTGAAATGCGTGGCCGAATGTTCTGGCATGTCACAAAAATATGAAAAGCTGTGAAATTACTTTCTAAGTTACATGACGTGTACATGCACATCAATAGAATATGAAATTAAAAAACGTTCCTACTAGAAACTGCTAATATTAGAGATTTAGCACAAGAAAAACTGTATGAACCATATCCTTCCACTGTAAATGACTCTCTAACATCAACATCTCCGTAAGAGGAACATTCAATTTCAATATTTTTATACAAGTATAATGAATCGAAAATAAAAAATCCGCGAGTCTACTGTTTTAAATGAATATTAGGACCGATCGAATTACTTACGTCTATATATTCTTATTGTTTCTATCGATAAATAACTGATTCCTGATATCATCCAATTGTCTCGTCGCTTGTGTTACTGGTATTGTTAGAATAAGGATGGCTATATCACATCATACATAAAATACAACAATGCGCGTGCTTATTTTTCTTCTTATACTTCATACGTTTCTAGTATTGTCCGCTTTGCAAACAATTCCCGTGTTAAACATAACACAAGACCAACTAGATCTGAAAGATTATTTAACTCATCGTTGTTCTAAAGGTAAGATGTTGCTTATGAAAAATTGTCTCATTTTTTTTTCTATATTTATACTCATTAAAGATTTATCATATACTTTCCTGAACAATTCGAGTAATTCACAAATTATACAATATTTAAGCGATGGCAAAGAATTGAAACATAAATTAATCTCCGGATCTATAATTACGAATCATTTGAGTCGTTTGATGGTACAAGTATCAACAACAGATGTAGCTTATAACCTCAGATTTCCTAACCCCAACAATAAACATTCACTTCATAATTCCATTAGTCAAGTGACAAGAGATATTGGGGAAAGTCTACAATCTATCCTAGCGGTTGTCAACCGTATTTTGGCTAGCAGCAATCGAGTGCTTGAAGATATTAATACAATAAAAACACTTCTCTCACTTTCGCTTGGCGATGAGTCGACCGTTTTTGTGTTAGAAAGCTTGCAGAATCTTAATCAAACCTACTATTCAAATGCTGATGGGATCAAAACGTTTAGTTCAATAAGCGAAAAACTAGAAAATAATACCAGAATTCTAACTCTTTTGATTAGTAACACATCGGTACAGTATCATAATGTCTTTTTAACAACACAGCAACGTATTAATGAACGATTTACACAAGGTCCATATAGTTTATTGATAGGTTTACAGGCACAAGAAAAAATGGCTCAACATTCTCTACAACAAGCTATAGACAACTATCAAGCAATTTTGAATCGTGCAGTCAAGGTGGGTCTATTACATGTCACTGACGCAGATACAGAAGCAGCTTTACGACAATATCTGAATGCTGAAAAAACACATATTGAAGCACTTGCTCGAGTAAACCAAATGCATCGAAATATTTCAAGTTTAATACGTTTGCCGAATGATTTTGACAAAATCTATGCACAATGGGCTCAAGATAGTAAAAACTTACTGACGACAGCAGTGAGTGGACTACATAATGCGAGTGAGAGCTGGAGAAGTCTCTATCAATTTCTACAACCATTAGCTGACCAAGTCACCTTAGTCTACGAGGTAATTCAATATCCATTTTTACATAGTTATCCTCAATGATTGTCATTCTAGTTAATAAAAAAGTATTGTACAATTGTATCAACGCCACCGGATTTACCACGTGCCGTTATCGATTGGAAGCAAACGAATACGTTATCATTGGAAATGATTGAAGACCTCAAGAAGGAAATGTTGTTTGTGTATTTTTTGAGCAATATTTATTTCGACGTTTTAACTGAATTAGTCATGTGTCAACTAGTAAGCAACAGTCATCTATTACTTTTAAGCACTGAGGAAGATCGTCAAACGTATCTAAAACGATTAGATATCGAATTTGTTTTGATTGCCAAGCGAGCTGCTGACATATTTGATAAATATCATGAAAATTATGAATTATGATTACAATAAATAGATGACTCTGCATCCAATCATGAAATGAATATAACCTTTTTTTTCATACAATGTTGTCTTTTCTGTAGAAAAGAATTGCTCGTGTTTGTTATTGTTATTCCACGTGTACATGTTCATTCCTCTTCCAGGCGTTAGACCAAAATACTGAAAAATGGACAAAATTTCATATACGAAAAAATCATGATTTTTCGATTTTTTTGCCGTTCTAAATTAAGGCGATAGAGAGCTGTTCTACACACAGTTTTGTAGAGTAAATCAAGCTTTATCGACTGGTATATGACTCGATTTCGACAGTGAAGAATTTATACAAAATAATTTGACTGAAACTGATCGACCAAGTTTTTACAATTTTTAGAGCTTTTTTTGAGGGTGTGTCTGGTGCGACGGCTCTAGCGAGCGAGTAGTAAATCTTTAGATCGTAATATTTTGGATTCATATATGGTATACAAGGGCTGAAATTTCTTGAGGGTCAAATCCAAAATCGGTTGACCCCCCAGGGTTTTTCACATTTGAAAATCTTTGATTTTCTCATGGAGCGTCTCTTAAATGAAATATTGGAATAAAATTTTTAATTACCTAATTCTTTTCCCTAAATTGCATTTATTAACAATTTCAATTGGGGATTATATTCAATCGTTAAGTTTTATATTTCTTAATGTATTGAATTATTTGAAATTAAAATATTTAAGATATGTTTCACTTAAATTTGATTGCATTCGCTTCGATAAAGTTGAAAAAAATTCTTAAGGAATTTCTTTATTATGTTCAAATTTTACGTCTTACAACACAATACATATTTACGTATGTTTGACATAAATCATATAAATCATGTGTTAGATAAGAATTCAATATACCACCATTCAATGAATCAATTTAATTCGTCGTTTTGGATTGAAAAGAATTAGTTTTTTACACATCAGCATGATTGGAAAAAACGTTCAGATGATGGAATGCTTTATTCAACAGATCCATATCGGTAAAAGAAATGAAAGAAAACACTCGTTATTTTCTATTTTGTTTTCATTTAGACGAAAAGGTTATGGATTTCATTGGGAAATCGATGAACAAAAATGTTCATATATCAGAAAGGAAAAACGCCGAAAAGGAAAACGTCGAAAGGAAAACGTCGAATGAAAAAGATGTCTATAGATAACGAAAATTTTTTGTTTTGATTTGGTAATCAATGCAAAGCAATTATTGAAGGGATTAACATTACTACTTGAATCACACAAAAATAGAAAATAATACTGATAAACTTAGTTTTCTTTTTTTTTATTGTATTTTATCATATGATCGAATAAATTTTTATTTTTCGTTAAAATTATCAAAAAACGCAATTTTCGACATTTACCTTTCGACGTTTTCCTTTTTCTAATTTTTTCTTTCGACGTTTAGAATTTCTGCATTTTCCCCTTCTATGTTTTCCTTTTCAACGTTTTACCTTTCTGCCTTTTCCACCAAACCCTTCCATTGGAAGAAATTTGTGAACTATTACGTTGTACACCTAAGTTATATGCATTACACTTGAATTTACTATCTATCTATGCAGGAAACCAATCCAAAGTTAAATAAACAAAGTGAAAATTTTCAATATGTATCAAAAACAGATAAAATCAAAAATTTAGATCTTCGTGGATGCTGTTCATGGAATCAAATTCAATTGATTATGAATTTATTTCCACAATTAGAGATTCTTAAAACTAGAATGAATAGAAAAGAAATTGGACAAATAATTAGATATCTATTATCAAAGTTTAATAGTAATTCAAAAAATTTATCTTTTTTATGCGTTTCAGAAACACCCAAAATATGTTTAAAAGAATTACATTTTTTAATCAAATCAGGAAGCTTACAAATTTATCAATCGTGATTTATATTTATGGTGGTAGGAATTTAGTTGTTTAGGACATGTTTTATTTTTTTTTGTATGTAATTTGTAAATACTTTTAAATAAACAAGATCTCAAATATTAAATTTTGAAACAAAACATTTGATTAGCCTGACAGTTTTGGCGGCTGTTATTTGCTGGAAGGAAAGTAAAGAATATATGTATTATTGATTTACTAAATATCACGGATACTCTTCGTTATGTATGTCAGAAGAAAAGGAAGCAATCTATCTATATGAACTCAACAGAAAAGACAGTTGTTACTTGTATTGTATGAGCTATCATATTCATATACGGAAAATTTTCTATTGGTTATTCATATCCGAACATTCAGCTACTTTTTTATTCTCGTGCTACTGTCGATCGATAGCTACGGCATATTCTCGAATCAATACTAGTTGCTTGTATTTATCTTTTAAGATAAAATAATTATCTATGATTATATGAATTCAACAGATAATGAATTTATCAATTTAATGAGAAGTAGTACGTCATCAATATGGGCACATCAACAAATAATTATTTGCATTATTAGTGTTTTACTTGGTACTTTTCTTTTTATTATTACATTTATTGTTCCGGCTGTGATTATTTTATGTCGAATACAACGTGATAAAAATCGAATGAATTCAAGACAATTACGACGTGCTAGTGATTTTATGTAATTGACTCTATTGAATGTATGTGTATTTTACAATGTTAAGAAAAAGAAGTAAAATAAAAATTTTAAGAAAAGTCATATATAGAAGAGAACATAATGACCTTCGTTTTACAATCGATATATGCTTTTAATATGCTATGTTTTTCTTTGCAGTTCTTGGGACAATTACGGGAACATAAAAATGTGAAACATGATATAACTGCTGTTGCTCATTATATTTGAGTCTTCATTCCTACAATTAGCGACCTCTATGGTAGATTTCTGAGAAATACAACGAAATTTAGTAAATAGATTTAATAATAATTTGATAATAAATATAAGTCTAAGTTTATCTTAAGAAAATGTTTCGAAAAATGTCATTTAAAATTCATTGTTGAGGTTTTACTCAGCTCCCTGAATGCTCCATCACAATGACAGCAATGTCGACGAATGAAATGAACAAGAATACGTGCGAATAACCGCTATTACAGTTGCACATACTATACTACGTATATATTCTAGTTTACTTGTTTATTTACTTGTGTTTGATATTTTCCTCCCCCGACTCTCTATTTTTATTATTGAAAGCCTCTTTGAATATTTCCTTCATATATCTATATCTTCATTTAATAAAGTATGTATTACCTAGATCGATTTTCATAAAAACAAAATATCTTCCTTCTCCATTTGTTTTTGTATCTAGGAATGAAGACATGGAAAACGAAACTATACAACGCCGTTCAACGGCTACAATCAATCATATGGGTAAAGTTTTCTCTTATGGATTGCGTTTCCTTTCATAGTTTACTGCCATTTTTTAGGAGTAAACTCTTATTCTACATTTGGCGCTCAAGGTGATCTCACTAACGATAAATTAACTATTTTACCTATAATACAAGATACACATTGCATTATACAAGAACGACATATACCTGACATAAAACATACATTCTTCGACGAACAGTTAGCATCAAGGTTAATTATTAATCCAAAATCAATCTAAATAATCGAATAGAACTCTCTCTCTCTCTCTCTCTCTCTAGTACTACAACAATGAATTGGGATATGGAAGCTAATTACATATGTCCACCGGGTGTACATCATACTTCAAATAATAACTATATACATTTAACTGACTGTACTTTGCAAACAAATCCATCGGCAACAGTTATTCAAAATACACAAACAACTAAATTAAGTAAGAAAGTTTTTATTTATGAACCGAATGCAAAATGATTCATTTTTGTTGTTTTTCTCTATAAATAAAGATAATGATGATGAAATACAACAGCCATCAACATCTAATATGGGAACAGCAAAACAGAATTTTACAAATTTCACTAATTCAGATCTCAATGGTAGATTGATTTAATTCTTTCTTCTTGTTTTAGCATAAATATTTTAATTAATTTAATGCACTGACGTATAAAGTTAAACGAGTCAACGATTTTTGAATATATACTAATAAGAAAAGAACAAGGTCAAAATTAACTATTTAAAAAGTATCAAAGACAGTCATGCGCGATTTGCTCTGATTTTAAAATACATAGTCAATATAAATAATATTAAATGTTCTACTTCCCAGGAAATAATTTTTTCCAAAAGCCTTTTCCTTTCGCTTAACGTACACGACAGAAGAAAACCAAACTAAATTTTTATAAATTTAAAATTTTTAGGTTCAAAAGTAATTCGTCTAGTTCGCGCTAAACAAGCCACTAAACGTAAATCAAGTTTAGATACTTTAATTGAAGTTGTACAAAAAGAATTACTTCGTGTAAATGGCCAATCGAATTCAACTGCACCATCATCATCTCCTCCTCATTATTCTCAAACACGTTCGACAACATCCTCAAAGCAATCACAACAACAGCAACAGCACCACCACCACCACCGATCAGTAATATCATCTGTATTACCATCATCACATCCAAATTCCTTAACATCTCAATCAAATCATTCATTTAAATTAGCACGTAAACGACCAAATCATAATTTAACAAACACAAAACGAACACCATCGAATCGAAATCGTAGTAAATCTTTTAATACTAATGATGATTTCGCAGATGATATCGACTTTATGGATGGCGATGATGATGATGATGAGGATATTAATAATAATCATAGCGAACAACAACAAACAAATGAATCAATGGATGATGCTACACCATCAACATCGGAAACTATCGAAGATATTGTTCGTGATACGGTTGATAAACTTGTTGCTATAACTCTCCTGAACAATGCTCCATTTATTGTTAATATGATTACTGGCACTCCTGGTAATAATACAGCTAGTAGTACAAATACTGAATCAAAACCATTGGCAAATATTGTTAATACAAACGTAAGTATATTTACATAATTCGATCAACAAGACTACCACAGAGAAATATTGTTTTCATTCGAACACATTTCTGTTTATTCTTTTCCAGACTACATCTATTACAAAACCTATTACAACTATTCCCTCGTCGGATTATTATCGTAATGATCTTGCATTATTATCATCAACTGCAAGTGAATTACGAAACTCTATGCAACAAACATCCCCTATGAAACAAACACCGCACCAACAGCAGCAGCAAATGATTATTCAAACAACACAATCGAATTCGATTCAGACAAACTCTTCGATTGTTTCGAATGATCAAATGAAATCTTCAGCATCAACATTATTCGTTTCTCCACGCATATTAAATTTTCAAACTGTTGTACCGAAGCCAACAACAAATATTCAAATAGGAAATACGAAAATAATTCTTGTATCATCGGGAACGAACCATCAACAATCTTCTCTTCATCAGCAACAACAACTGCAGCAAACAAATCTTGTTAATAGTAGTCCGGTTAAATTAGTGAAATTAAGTTCAGCATTGCCGAAAAATGTTCAAATTGTTATACCATCTCGAACATCAAATGAATCTCTTTCAACAACAACAACAACAACACTTCATCCAATATCAACACTGACAACTTGTTCTATTGATCAAATACCTCAAGCAGCACAGGAAGTAACTATAACAACATCGCCAAATTTGAATAAACTACGCAGACGTTCATCAAGTACAACGCCAACAGATAAACCTGTTGGTAAAATTTTACGACCGATTGCTAAAGTTCTTCCAGTTTATTCACCGAATAATGGCAATCATGGTTAGTTGGAATTATATATATTTAAATAAGTCACTATTTTGCATTTTTATTAGCAACTAGTCCATCATCGACTATAACAACAAGCCCAAGACATGATGAACTAACGAAACCCATGGCAATTAATTTTCAACAACGACCAACATCAACACATGGTCCTATGATTTATCGAATGACATCGGTGAATTCAAGTATGTTTTCGGAAATGACAAGACGTATTCAAAAAAAAACACATTCTCATTGATTTACAGATGTACCTGTCTTTCGTGTACGTGCCACAACGGCTCCGACTACTTCAACAATCAATACTGATGCTAAGCCTATGTCTGTTGCAACAGCTACAAGCATGTGCTATGAACCTAAACAAATGCATAATACAACGACTGCAGGTGGTTCGGTTTCTGTACTCGCTTGTTTCAAAACGACAAAGAAAAGAAATAAGGTATGTCATTCTATTACACCACATAGTGTTAAAAAATTCTATTTTGTTTTTAGGAACGAGCTATCATGCCTCGCCCAAGTACCACCGATCCTATTGATCCTTCTCATGATTTACAGCAACGACTACATACTACAACAAGTAGTAATATTTCAACATCTACTTTAAATGTGCCTTTAACTATTACTAATCATAATACCACCGATGATTTAGCAAATTGTAATTCGACAATATTTTCCTCAACTGATTTTCGTCAACAATTAACACCAACACGTCTTATACAACAATATAGTTTGCCAACAATAGCAACACAAACGCAACATAACGATTCAACATACGATCTTAATATATTATCGCCAAATAGTATTCCAATACAACATAATAGTTCACATTCAATTAAAACAATAACAATTCCATTAATATCACCAATACAATCGTTATGTTCAACATCGAATATACGACCAGCTATGGAAGATAAATGTATTCAATGTATTGATGATAATGAGAACAGTATAGAACAACTAACAAAAGGTAAATAAATTGTTAAATGTATTCTTGAACTATTATATTTCTCTCTCTAGGTAATCTACCAAAGAAACGAAATGGACAATCTCTTGATGATAATTCATCTAGTGATGAAAGTTGGACAGTAGCAGCAGACACGTAATATTTCTTTTGTTGATTATTTCTTCTCTAATTATTATTATTTTAGTCTTCTTCGTAATGTTTTATCTCAATACGGTTTTCGTTTTCTTGATGTTAATTGTCAACAGAACTTATCAACTAAATTTGATATAATTCAAGCCAATCTTGTTGTAAGTTTCGATACCATCTGTATTCTATTGGTTGATAATGTCATCTATGAGTAAAAATAAGTCTATGCGCATCGTTTTGCATCAGGGAGTAGACAAACACAGCTGATCAATATATAATTTTTATGCCAACTGATGTTGTTACGTTCAAAAAAAAAAATCTTTTGTTTTATTTAGAGTGGTATGATATTATCAAAAGATGAATTTTATAAATCCGTACATGATATCAAAGATTCATTAGTTAATAATGGCTTATCGAAAATATCTGCTGATAATCTAGAAAAATTATTTAATTATTTTGAAGTTGAATATCCAAAAATTCGTGATGGTGATTCACTAGTTCGAACAAATGATCGAGTAAATAAATAGATTTAAATGTCAATTCACCTATGATTTTCTTTCAATTTTTTATTCTAGAAACGAACACGACGACAATAGATATATGACTATGTCGGATTCAGTTTTGTTTTTTTTTCTTTTTAGTGTCTCTCTTTCTCTCCTATGTAAATAAGCATCTTTTTGCCTTGATAAAAAAACTGCTACTTTTTTGTTCGTTTTCCGTTACTGTTCTGGTTTTCTTCTTTTTTTTCTCGGTTGAAAAGATCGTACAGTAGAACTTGCAATATATATATATATATATATATATATATAAACCAACATCACTTTCTATTCTTTCATACAAAGACAAACAAGAACCGATTAAATCATAAATTAGCATCCTGTGACTTATTCTTCGTTGTTTTTGATAAATAAAAAGCAAAGTTTACGATCAACCATGAGGGAAAAGTGATTTTCCCACGTGTCTCTCATTATGTGTATTATTTTATCATGGTTTCTTTTTCTCGTTTGTTTCTTTTTTTCGACTTGTTCATGTGAGAGATAAAAGATCTATTTATCATTTTCACCCACCATATAGTTGTTTATACATGATGTGTTTATTTAAAAATAAAAAACAAAGAACGAACAAGAAGATTATATTGTATTTATTGTTTTGAAAATCATTTCTAGATGAATATTTAATTTATTGAAAAAATTAATATGCCGAAAGGTTCAGAGACAACAGTCAAAGAATGTCATGATTGTGGACAAAGTGGTAAGCTATACTTTTTCACACATATTTTGACAGAAAGTACAAGCTTCAATATGATTTGTTTTGTTTATTAAGGCCCCGAATGGTGCTCAATCAATCATGGTGTACTTCTATGTGATGAATGTTGTAGTGTACATTTAAGTCTTGGCCGACATATATCACAAATAAAATCTTTTAAACGTAGTTATTGGCCACCGAATCAATTGAATGTAAATACCATCAATTATTTTTATCGAATTTATTGTTTTTCTTTTAGTTAATATATGAAGTAAGTTCGAATGGTGCTAACCTTGTTTGGGAATATGGTCTACTTGATCCACAAAATAAAGTTCCAAGAAAAAAGCCATCTGCTAAAGATGCATTACCGTAAAAGAAATCGATTTTTGGCCTTTTCTATGCATCTCAATGTATTGCTTTTAGAGTAAAAGCAGATTTTATTCGCACAAAATATCAACAGATGGCCTACATAAATCGTGTAAAAGATGAAACGAATGGCATATTTGAAGATTTGCATTTAGTAAAGATGATTTTTTTCTTCGTATTTCTTAAATTATTTTGTTTTTCGTATTTCAGCAATTACATTCAATTGCTCGAACAGATAATGTTGTGACATGTTTACGATTTCTTTCGCAAGGAGCTGATCCGAATTTTAAAAATCCGGTATGATAAAAAAAACCTACTTTTTTTCAATGAAAAAAAACAGGACCGATGTCGCTCTAATAGGAAACAGGTACTTCATCTGTTCATGTTGCTGCAAGCCGTGGTCAACAAAACCAAATTGAGGTAAAATAAAATTCTTTTGTATATATATATGTTGTTTTGAAATTTTAATTATTTAGCTTCTTTGTATTTTTGGTGGTGATCCAGCAGCAGTTGATAGTTCTGGAATGTCACCAGACGAACATGCAAGGTTTGAAAAATATAAGATTTACTAGTTTTTCAGAGAAATTTTTTCCTATCAATTTGATGTTTCTTATTTGGTTTTATTCTTCTCATAGAGCAAATGGTTATCCTGATTTAGCTGATCGATTAATTGAACTTCAATATGAATTAACCGATCGTCTGACTTGTTTTATTGGTGGTAAACGACCTGATCATAGATTTGGACAACATATTGTCCTTCCTGAACTTAATGAAAAGTATATTGAATGATCATAATAGAAATAGAACTGTTTTGTTTTTCTTCTTCGCGTGTTTCATTAGTCTCGATATATCTGATCAAGCACTTCTTGCTCGTAAAAAACTTCAACAAGTAAAAAACAAATAACTATTATCGATATAGAAAACTAATATATTTCTTTCATTTTTAATCAAAGTTACCTGATCCACTTTTTGAAGATCTTGCTATGGATGTATTTGATGAAGTTGAACGACGAGAATTGAATACAAGTACTATTTATAATATTTTTCATTGTTGTGTATTGTAATTTTACCCGTATAGTTTGGCATGCGCAAGTGGATAAAGCGTTGATTCCTTTGCATGTTGTACCATTTCTACCTGTTAATCCTGCATTTTCAGCAACACGAAATCAGGTATGAAAAGAATTTTATTTTTAGAGTTAACTTTCAGTTCTGTATAATTTAAATATTTTATATAAGAATCTCTACATAGTCCAAAAGTATTCTTAGATATTCATAAGTAGATCACAATTTGCCTGTTTGAAAACTCTCACAAATTCATTTTCAGATTGTGAATTTCTTGGATTTTTTTTCTATTTGAATTGTTAATTTAGGGTCGTCAAAAATTAGCACGCTACGGTCCCAAAGAGTTTACTACATTTATTTATGATATATTAAATGAAGTTCGTCGTCGATATCATGGTATTATGCAACAATCTCCTGTATCACCTGTATCAACATCGAAATGTATGAAAAGATTTTTTGGGGGGGGGGGGGGGGGGGGGGGGGGGGGGGGGGGGGGGGGGGGGGGGGGGGGGGGGGGGGGGGGGGGGGGGGGGGGGGGGGGGGGGGGGGGGGGGGGGGGGGGGGGGGGGGNCATTTCGATGTTGATACAGGTGATACAGGAGATTGTTGCATAATACCATGATATCGACGACGAACTTCATTTAATATATCATAAATAAATGTAGTAAACTCTTTGGGACCGTAGCGTGCTAATCAATGTTATTCATTTTAAATAGTTCATACATTACCACGACAAACTAATCAAACGAATATGCCAAATAATAATACATCTCTATCAACTCAGGATATTTTACAAACTAATGGACAACCATCGTTATCATCAACAGCTGCACTAATAAATGCATTTATTGATAGTGACGATGAACCACTCTACGATAAAGTTGCATCGGATGAAGATTATAGTAGTTTACCAAATAGTGAACAACAAAAACGAACTAAAATTAATAAAAAAACAAAAAAAGTATGAAAAATTATTTTGATGAAACAAAATTTTTCCATTGGATTTTTGATTTTTAGCCATCAACTATAGATTCATCAAAAGAATATATAGATGGTGTATTACAATCACCAACTGAAGTAAATCGATTTCATTTAAAGCTTATTTTCCATCATGTTTATCTTTCCTAGAGTTTAAATTTATCAGAAATTTCAAATGAAGAAACAGCACGAAATCATCGATCATTTGATATAAAATCACGTGTTGCTAATACGGAACTTCAACTTAAATATTTAGCATGTGCACATATTGATTTAAAAAATGAATTAGCTGTACTACATCAAATGGTAAAACTACGAAATCTACTTCTTTTTTTTGTTATTCTCTATATGTACTTATAGATCCAACGATTACTTGATGAAAATCTGTTAAATAAAGTTGATCAACAAGTCTCGAGCGATCTGGCAACACATCGAAATGATCTATCATCGTCGCAAATGCAAATAAATGGATCGAATTTAATTAATAATGATGATACACGCAGAATTATTAATAAAGTAAGTGCGAAAGAAGATGCTATGAGAGTAAGTTGAAATAAACTTTTTATGTTTTTTAGTCAGCTCAACAACTTTTTGATGGTCATAGTCGAAAATCAAGTCCAATTGTTGAAAGTGATTATGATAATACAACAGTTATTGACGATCCTGACAAGTAAATTTGCCATTGATATTTTGGAATATTGTTTATTTTTCACGAAAAATCAATTGTTTTTAGTCCATCATCAAATTCAGTTCGACAAACAGCATCAGGTCATGATAAACGGTAAAGATTTTATTTTGTATGGAAATATATTTTTATTGTTTTTGACATTGAATATTTAGATCTAGTCGTAGTATGCAACGATTTCCACAAATAGAAGAAAATAAAATAAATGGCCTGAATCATTCTCGCCCATTTCGATCAACAGATTTTATAAATACAAATGTTGAAGTACTAATAGAAAAATCATCCACAACGCAAATACAAAACATTATTCCTATAACCAATGGTCGAGCTCGATCATGTTCTGGCGGTCGAAATAAAGCTATGTCACCTCCAGTTTTATCCCGCAAAGGTATTTATTATTAATAAAATTAATCTTTCAAAATTTATATCGTTTTTTTTTGTTAAGGTTCATGTGGACCAACAGAAGCAATTGGTGATATTGATAAACGAACACGAAAAATAACTCATCGTATTGCAGAATTATTTAGTTTAATTAAAGAAAATCAATCTGACCGGTATACATATCTTTTTAAGAATAGTCATCATGATAATCTTGTATTTTCATTTCTAGCTTTGTTACTTGTGCCGAACGAATCAATAATTCAGTTCAAGATATGATTCGTTTATTTGATAGGGTATGTTATTCTGTCTAACGGAAATTTCACATACATATTATGGGCCTACACGATCCAAGTAGTGTCAACTTAAAAATCGATTAATCATTTGAGATATTTCTATTGTCAGCATTAATAAATAATTATAATTAGTTGTTCTTTTTTGGTTTGTTTAGATTTCATTAAGTGACGAGATGCGAACAAATCTAGACATGTTAAATACAGGCGCTCAACAACTTCTAGCTCATGCTACATTAAAAGAAAAAACTGCGACATCAACGAATCCCAATCGATCGGAACAGATTCAATACATAATTGATGATTGTTATAATATTGCACTTGCCACAAAGAGTCTTGTTGGACTATACCAAAAATTATGAGCAATTTGCATAGTAAAAAAATATACGACATCAAATTTTCTTTTTCTTTTATACATGGCTTATCTGTCTAGTATTATTTGTTCGTCTTTCATTACTCAAAAATAATCGTGTTCTTCGTTGTTGTTCCTTTTTTTTATACATGTCTGTTTATATTTAACGATATAATCATTTTTGTAATATAGGCAAACATTAGCCGTGGTGCTCAAAACTAACTAACTTCTAACTCAGGTGTATTATTCTATCTCCGAAACCGAAGCTATTACCAATCTCATAATATCATATTTACTCTTTCATTCTTTTCCTCGTGTATTCGTGTGTGTATATTCTTCGTCTTCTTTTTTTTCTACACTTTTTAAATAAATACAATAGTGGTATGCAATAGAAACTTTTAATTATGAATAATAATTTCTCATGACAGTTTACATCAAATGATATTTGTATTATGGATAGAAGAAAAACTGCGTCAAAAGATAATACGTGTCATTTCGCATTTATAATTACCGGCAACTGAATGATACAGATAAATCTTATCTCATCGTCAACATTCTCTTCGCACAGAATATTCGAGCAAGTCCTTGATTGATGCATTCTTGATTTCTTTTTACGAGCTTTTCGCAAACTTATGTCCATAAGAAATCATATCAAAAGATCACTATTCATTATTCAAACAAAAAGATGAAAGCTACCACCCTCAAGTACTATTCAAATTTTCATATATTATTTTTCTTTTTAGTTCTATTTTCGCCTACTCATACTTTTGCATTGCATGACTTGCAATAACTATTTTGTTCGTGCCTAAAAAGACCAGCAGCTTGCAAATCAAAGGCATTTTCAATTATATCAATGATGTTATAAATACTATTCATTTCGATTCAAATTTCAGCCTTTCAAGTCGTCAGATTTTTTTTTCAACAGGACAAATATATTTTTTACTGCAAAGGAAAAAACACAAAAACATAGAAAAAATGTGAACTATGTTGTAGAAGCATTGACTTAATCAACAATCTGACTCGAGTCACAGTATCGGAAAAGTCACAATCAACAACATAGAAAAGACTACACAATAAAAAAACAAAAAAAAACTGAGTAAATACAAATATGACGACAAAAGACAAAACACCAAACACACAAAAAAAATCGCAAGATCGAAAAATAAAATCATTTTTAATGTTATTTGTTTTATTTCTTCTCGTTCTTTCTGAATTTTATCACAGTCGAATGAGAAAACGAAACGAAAACAAACTAAATTCATCACTGTTATCCATCGATCAAGCGAGAAAAAAAAGCAAAAACAAGAACTCTACTCGTCAAGTCAAATTTCAAAAACGAAAACCAAACAGACTAGAAATGACTCTTGTTATTGTTCGAAATTAAACATAAATCATATAGAGACGAAAAAAGAACAGAAAGTAAAGTAACGAGAACCTATTGCGATAACCTGATTATAGAAGAGACAAAGAATCACCGTTTTTTGTCAACGACAGAGAGACTCGGCCGTATGTACAAAATACTGCTTTACTATGCTCAAACATATACAGTGAGAAATAGATTACATGAGAAACCAAAGCACTACTGTACAGGAGTAAAGAAAATACGAGAGGAAGCAAGGTCATTCTCAAATATCAAAAAAGAAAAACCTTTCAAATGCAATTTTAACCTTTAACAGATATGTATGCTATTGGGAATTTTTCATACTTTCTTATTGAATAACATGGACTATAGAAACCTCTATTATTATTGTTGTTGTTGTTGTTGTTGTTGTTATTATTATTATTTTTATAATTTGATTTTTGTGCAATTTTTTCTTTTGCTATTTCCTTTTTATCTTCGATTAGAACGGGAAGATTTTCATCATTTGAATTTAAATACCATGATTCAGGTGGTTTGGGTAAAAATGCACATTCAGGCGGATCTGCATAAATATTCGAATAAAATAATGGTACGGCTGGTGATAAACTAGCCGACATTGCCGTAGGTGAATTTGTATGAGAATAATGGCGATATTGAGAATTCGCACTTTTAAAATATGATCCACCCATACTACTATTTGACCGTATACGATTTGAATTATTTGAAACAGGTATAAAATTAGAATTTTTTGTGCGCTGCTGTTTAACAGGTGATTTTCGATTGTTCATGGTGATTGTATTTTTTTTTCAATTGGAAAGACAAGAAAAAAAAAAGAGAAATCTAAAAGAATTTCATATAATTGTAAAAGAAGTGAGGTCATGATGATGCTTTCGTTATTTAAATTGATATACTGATGAAAAGATTAGACAAAACAAGTTGCATATATAATATTTGATGACGAGAAAAAGAATTGAGTGGGCTCATAGGCAACGACGAAGAAAAAAGTGACGATAGAAAAACATAAAGCTTCTATAAACAACACTGCATTCTCGCATTGATTATTAGTGCAAGAATAGACCAAAAGAGGAAAATAGAGAACACACTGCAACAATCAAACCAGACTAACATAAAAGCAACTGTCGTATTTCTGTAGGGAAAAAATGTCGAACGGAAGTCCTAGAAAGCCTCATTCAAGTTTTTTTTCTTAACTCTCTCTGTCTCTGATCTAGCAACGATCAAATCAATATTCGATAGGAGGCATCGACACAGCTGTCAACTTATAAATATATATATCCATAAACATTTGCTTAGAAATAATTACAAAAGAAAAGAAAGAAATGCGTATTACTCATCTTTGAAACGTTATATTGCATCAGCATTCTGACAGGAAAAAAACAGCATTTTATTTTTATTTTCAATGAGTCATTAAAAATAAAAAAAATACCTAGTCACAAATAAAAATCATAATTTTCTTACTGTTTTAAGTGAAATTGACCTTCTCTGTCTAACGGACATACAGACAAGTGAGAGTTCGTCAGTTCGTACGAAAAAGAATTTTGTTCGCTTATTCACACACATGTCTCGAATAGGACATGTACACAAATAAATGGAGTTCTTCTTCTCTTTTCTCTCTCTCGCTCGCTCGCTCGCTTTTTTCTGTCTCTAATCAAATTGATGAGTGGGTTCGCGAATACGCCTTAGTATTAGAACGACTGACGACATAGCGAATAAACAAATGGAAAAAAGTATGCATGATTATCGATCAATGGGGGACACTAAGTGCACAATTATATCATTGATAGAAAAGAAAAATACGATACATACGTTCATTTATTTATTTATATAATTTCTTAGCGACAAAAAAAAACAGTAAAGGTTGTTGTTAGGCAACAGTATAGACTAATGGAGGAAATCATGTGCGTTTGTATGCGTCATAGTTAATTGTTAGAATTTGTTGAGAAACGATGGCAGGAAAACCGTCAGTTATGCTTACTGATGGCGGCTTATGGAATACACGAAAACCACAATTTAGTAATGAAACAACTAAATTGCTTAAGAGTAAACTATTGAATTGTATTTCTTAATCGAATTTATCAAAATTATTTTTTTATGGTTTAGCACTTATGGAAGAGTCTCGCATTAATAATTTCCAACGTCGTCAACTAACAAGTCATATGCTTCGTAAGTGATATAAAGTAAATGAACAGCTGAAACCAGAATTATGTATTAATACTTATATTAACAGTATATAATATTCACGCATGAATTCAGTCAAAGATTTAATCAATTTTTAGTTCATAATATTTATTTCTAGGAGGTGAATCATTACCAGAAAGACTCGGTCCATCATCAACACAAACGAAAGCATCCGTAACCAAACGAATAGAAACAAATCGTCAATCAAGGTAACTATTGATTAGATAAAAGTATCATCTTTTGGAAAAGAATTATTCGTTGTCTCTGTAGAACTTCACATACTTCAGGATTACGTACTTATAATGATATTGTTAATTCAGGTGCTTATACTCCACCTGATTATCAACCAAGACCAATGAGTAAAATTAAATAAATAGTTATCAAAAAATTTAAATTAAATTAAATTTTCTTGTAGAAGTTCGTACTGAACAAGAAAAAGATCGTCTAGCACATTTAATGGCATATGGTGTTGATCCAGCAAAAATGGCGCTTCAAGCAGCTCAACGTTCGCCAACACCACCACCACGAGAACTCGATCGATTCGATGAATGTATGCTGACATTGATCTTTTTAAATGATATTCTACTTAGAAACTTTATTTTATAGTGGTACTTGAAGTCGAAGAGAGAAAACAATTTCTCGAACAAATGACTACTCTAGGTAAAAGAAAAGAATATCAACAACTTATTTCAAATGAAATTGCCGATGTGAGTATAGTTTTATAAGCTTTTATTTCATTTAGTCACTTTATTTGTTTTTAGAAAGTACGTGAAATGGAATTGATTGATCGGCAACGTTCAAAAGCCTTAGAAAAACGTTTAAAGGAACAGTCCTCATAGACAAATATATACCCATATTTATAGATACAATCAAATAAAATATTTGTTTCAATGTATATGTACTTGATGCATTTCTTTTTAATATTTATCAAAACGCGTGAATTCATAATTTCCCTATTTTGGAGTAGTTAGTTGATCGATAAGTGTGAATGTAAATCAACCATGATATTATTATGTCATATCGAATACGAAAATCTTCGGATGGCAATGTCCTCAAAATGAAAGATCAATATTATGGTTAATATATACATTGAATTAATAGTAAATTCTACTGTATACTGTCAATTACAATCAGCCGTAGAAAGTACAGCTACAAACGAAGGCGTTGTTTTGAATATTTAATAAGTTTCAAACTTCGGCAAAGTACTTATTTACTTTAATATAAAACTATGCTTTTTCTAATGATGATGTTCGAACACATACCGAAGAATTAAGCTCCTGCATGATTTACTGGAACACAATTGTCCTGCAAATAAAGCAAGAGAGTGCGCAAAAGCTATATGTTGACCAGACGAAAAAGAATTTGAATTATGGCAGACCGCTGTAGATAAGCGTCCTCACACTCAAACATTCATCAAACCAGATTTCAATTCATTTGTTAAATTATCTTCGTCTGGAAAATATCGACAGAAGCAAACTGACGAAGAGATGTTAAGAAAGTAAAAAGAGCTGACCAGTGAGAAATTCATACGTTCACAGATGAAAAGCTTTCATTTCAGAAGATTGAATTCGAAGACAAATATCATGACTAATAACAATGGATACTTTGTGATGTCAGTATTTAATGTCTACCGTTCATTTCTGACCAGATGTCACAAAAAGAACGAAAACCCACAGTGTAGCATATTCGAAAGCATTTTCGATGCATATCTGAAGGCTCTTATTGAATTATATGAAAAATAATGTTATTGATAATAAAATTCTTCAAGAAAACCTCAACATATTCATTAGTCGTAAAAACAATTATTTATTAATCTACGAGTTGTATTGAAGACTTGGGATGAAGAAACATTAGGCAAAGGGTTGAGATCAACCATAAATAAAATAAAAGAATTCATCTCATAACCATAAAAAATATGGCGATAAATCAATGTTTTCGTGGTTTATATAGTATTTTTTTAGATGAATACAAAAATAGATCTTAGCAGAGAAACATGACGATGATGATACTGACTGAACGATGGCGAAAATGTTGTCTTTTAGTAAATTAAATATTTTCCTCAGTATCTCTTATATGATCTGAGTAGATTACCATACTTTTTAAGAAACTATTAGTTGTGGCATAATTGTAGTTATGGCCGCTTGTCACTTTTGTAACATATTATCTGAAGTGAAAATTACAAAACAATCACCGAGTACTCAATAGACAACGCATTATGGTTTCAGAGGATATAGAGAAATGCTGCGATGAATAATAAAACTTCTTTAGATCACTTTTTGTGAAAGTCATAGTTACATGATGTGGCGTGACTTTTCTATATTCTACTGCTGACTACCCCCGTATACTAGTTGCTAATAGAAGTTGCATTTTTTTCTAATCAAGCTCAACCTTCTAGTATGAGCAATTTCGATGCATGCAAGCAGATAAGTATGCTCTTTTCCTGCCACCATCTGAATCTTTTTCTAGCTTCTTCTTTCATGACTTCTTCTCTTTCGAATATTGAACCAAGTAATTATGCTGAAAGGTACATCGATTGTTTTGGTATAGATTTTTATAATATCATTGCATTTTTAATTCTAATTTTCAGTCTTAAGTTGCTCAGAAAACTGTGCATCGTCTGCTGTATGTTATGTTTCCGTTAGTTTTAACCATTAGATGGTATAACACATACTTTGATAATCAACAAGAAAAAAAACTCAGGCAATCACCATAGTTCTAAAGGGTAAAATTTATCTTGAACAAACTATTCTTATTCCTCAGAAAACGAACGAGTGTGAGGATATGAATGAGAGCATAATGCATTTCCAACAGGGGCTAAAAGTTAGATAATGAATTAATTGTTCTATATGTTCTACATCAAATAAGAGTTACTGAATTCGTAGTTTAGTTCTGTTACCATTGTTTCTTTTTTTTTAACGCACCCTGTATGCTGCGATGAATAAGTGTTGTAACTTTACTATCGTGTAACTCAAAGAATGCTCGATAAGTTATTCACTAGATAATTCCTTGTTCGAAATGTAACCATGAGCTTCTTTCAGTCGAAAAAAATGCGATATCAAGAAGTAGTGATTTGTAACGGGGTTGATCTACCAAATAGAATTCATCTGAGTAATTACATACATGGGTGGGGGCAGACAGTTTCCACTTGATTCCATTTGACAAGCAACCAGAGTTGTTATTTGTTACAGACAGTAAACTAATCTAATTTCAGAAAGAGTTCCCCTCCATGATGTAGATCAGATAAATTATTGCGTGAGTCAACATCATGAGAAAATTTTGAAATTTTCTTACAGATAATTGAGGATGTGGGTGTGGTGTGGGCTGATAGAAGAATAAAATTTTCTGCCATACTCACACCCACCCAATTGTTTTGCATAAAACACTAGACCTGACCAAGATCTATCTTTTAATATAGAATTTATAATGATTCCGATTTAAATGGATGCTTTTCGGTGAGTCTTTTTGTCACAAATTGGTATTATTCATCAAAAAATATGTTATGTTTCTCTTATTATGACCCCGGGCCAAGGTTCTTTGCGCGATGTTTTTCACATAAAATGCTACATCTGATCGAGATCTATCTTTTGATATAAGATTCATAATGGTTTCGATTAAAATCGAGACTATTCGCTTAGCGATTTCATCAGAGATCAGGATTATTTATCAAAAGTTTTGCTATTTTTCCCTTATCATGACCCTCGTGCCAAGGTTTTTACTGGGTGTTTTTACACAAACTGTAGATCTTACCAAGATATAGCGAATGAAAAGTGGTAGAAGTTAAACAGTTGGTTAAAGTCTCAGCTAGATAGGCGAATTTAAAACATAACATAAGGTTAACTTCTGATGTTGAGTATTAAACTTCGAGTTGTATGTGCTTATGTTACAGTCAAATGTTTATTCCTTGACTCATCAACATTTGTATAAGGTTGAGGAAAAAGTTCGTGCGTCGTCCTGCCAGCCCTCACTAGGCCGATATCGCTTTTAGACACGTTTCAGAAAGTTGGTGTAAAATTATTTCTGGTGAGATTCAAAGACGTATTAGACAAACGAGGTCTTCTTCCGAATAATCAATCCGGCTTCAGAGAACGATTTAGACTGCAGACCAGACTATTAGTGTTTTTAGACGATTTATTTAGTCTTATGTCGAATAGCTCCCCAGTCGCTACTTTATTTGTCGATTTCAAGAGCGCCTTTGATATGCTTTGGTACGATGGGTGTGTTGGTAAGCTCCGACAAATGGGTATACCCATAGCGTACACGAAATGGATTTACGCTTGGTTAACAAATCGCAGAGGTTACATTGAGATAAATAATGTTAAGTCGAGACGGTTTAAAATCGAAAAAGGAGGTCCTCAGGGAGTAATTTTGACTCCTACAATTTTTATTTCGTACCATGCGGACATGTCAGAGTTTCTATCTTGTTGCTTATCACACTTTTTTTGCGGATGACCTAGCAGCAATTGTAGCAAAACAAATTGGTATTAAGTTTAGTCACCAATGCTAAGATTTAGAGAAGAAACTCAAATCTTGCATTGACCAACTCGAGGTCTACTGTCTGCTCACGGACCAGCCAATTAACTATAACAAAACGGTTGGTCTCTGGAGCGCCAGAGCGATTGGCCTCCTCCGCTTCCAATTAGATGTCAATAATCATAAAATCGGTTGGACCAACGAATATAAGTACCTCGGGTACTGGGTCACACCCAAAGTTGAGTGGGACAAGATGATATCTAGGTCGAAGACTAAAATTAGACAACGGCTAGCTATGTTGAACTCATTTAGATTTGAGGGTAGAACATCCTCTACACTCAGAAGAGTGCTGTTCTTGTCGTATATCCTACCGATTTTTACCTGGTTGTATCCAGTTTTTCCGCTTTTCTCTGAAAAGCAACGCAAAGACCTCGACCATTTCTATTTCACGTGTTTGGAAAACACTCTCCACTGTCGGGGGTGGAACGACTACTTCGTGGCCTTTGTGTTAAATGAATCTTCCTTAACAGATAGATGCGTTCGTTATTGGTGCAAATATTTAATTGCGCTGTCAGACTCAGTTGACAGTGAACTATTATTCGAAAGAGCGTCTCTAAATGAATTTAGAAAGTCACGGAGAGCCAAGGAATCCTCTATTAAGGGGCTTAGAATGTCTAAGCGTTATGTTGAGGACGTGTCCGTTCTTGAGAAAATTCTCAATTGGTTGGAGGATAACACTCCCACTGCCCCAAGCCCAGATTTTGAACTCGACGAAATTGATCTCCTCATTAACTTCCCGGAGACCTTTTTATAAAGAATACCTCGTTCTTTTCTTCTCGCCTCAGTGCTCTTATTTCGTGCCCCTCTCTCCCCTTTTTCTCTCTTCCTTATCATGAAGATTTTTCTTATCGCTGCTGATCTGTTTGTATTTGTATATTGTTCAACTAATGTACAGTGTTTGTCCGTGTCCGCGTCTTTTATGTCTCTTTATGTATATCTCTTGTTTTGTCCGTGTCTCTTGTCTGTCAATGTATGTTCATGTATGTCTTATCTTTGGTGCTGTCCTGTCACAGCGGTTCATATCTCTCTTTCTTTTCCCATACTCATTGTATTGTAAGGGCTCATGAAGCCGTCAGTTATTGCATAATAAAAAAAAAGTTCGTGTGTCGTGTTATTTTGAGAAAGTAACAAAAAAAATATTGATTGGAGCTTTGTCCAGTGCACCAACTTTTTCCTCAACCTAGTAATATCCCAGGTGGATCAATCCGATACAGAATCCCATCGGATTCTATGGGGTCCCACCATCCGACGAAATCCCGTTGGATTCCTGGTTGAGGAATCAATGTCGAATCCGACAGTCGTATTTCCAATGATATCCGATTGTCGTAACCAATGAAATCCGAAGCATTCCGGTTCCGATTGGCGGTTACTGTCAGATTTTATTAGTTTCCGATATTAGGATCCGATATCGATTCTGGAACCAGGAATCCGACGATAATCCGATAGTTTCCTTGCGCCTTCCGTAGAACTCCGTCGGATTTCAATAGGAATCGATCGGAACTCATCGGATCCTAGGCTAGGATTCATTCTCCTGGGCCGTACAATATGGCCACCCGGTGATTTCAATCAAGATGGTGTACTCGATCTTGTCACAGTAAATTATTGTAACAATAGTGTGAGCATTCTTCTCAGCTATGGAAATGGTCAGTTGGCACCTCAAATTTCATTTACGTCTAGCAACGGTCCATACTCAGTTGCCGTTGAAGACTTGAATCGAGATAATCGACTGAGCCTTGCGGTCACCACATTTTCTCCCACTGGAGCCAATATATTTCGTTGTGTACAGTCGCTATTCTTTGATTAGTGTGAATCCATATGTGGCTGCACTTGCTGATTTCAATCGACATAACCTGTTGGACATCGTTATTCCTCATATGTCTACGACAAGTATCAGTGTCCTAATTGGATTTGGGAACGGTACTTTTGATCGGTTGTTATCGTTTAACAGTACCAATAGTCCGTCAATAGTTGTAGTATGAGATTTTAACCAAGACAAGCGAACAGATTTTGCTGTACCTAATCGTGGTAATTCAACTTTGGGAATCTACTTAAATGCGTGTACATGATGTCTTCATACTCTTCAAATAAGTCTACACTAGTTTTTCTTGCTTAAAAAAATCAAAGATTTTTTATGCTTTTCAAACGGTGGTGGACTGAAATACATAGTAGTTATGTCTGATTCTGTAACTGAGTAGTAGGAAGTTTGTTCCAAGAAGAACAATAACGCAGGCATCATGCATTACCAGCTCGTTTGTTTTTACTGGTTTCTCATGTTTTTGATGATTTTCGACTACTAATGGAAATGTTACCCTTTTCGCTTTTTCATAATACGTCATTTTTATATTCTATTTATCACCTTAATATTACTATATGCTTCTGTCTGTTTTCATCATATTAATCTGACTAGTATATTGTAAAATGTTTTTGCTTTATTGAAATAAACTATGACTGAAATAATTTCACGTATTTTCTTTTGTTTTACGCGGACAGTTCTAAATATTAAACGATCTGAAAAATTCCGAAAGCTCCTGGCAACAGGTATCTGACTGATACTTATTCGAAGTTAACAATGCAATGGATAGCGATGATGTTACAGATGAAAATGTTCTTGACGAGTATACGTCGATATATGAGTCACTTGGCTAGTGCTATGAATGAGTGCTACCCAGAAAAATGAATCCTAGCCTAGGATCCGATGAGTTCCGATCGGTTCCTATTGAAATCCGACGGAGTTCTACGGAAGGCGCAAGGAAACTATCGGATTATCGTCGGATTCCTGGTTCCGGAATCGATATCGGATCCTAATATCGGAAACTAATAAAATCCGACAGTAACCGTCAATCGGAATGCTTCGGATTTCATTGGTTACGACAATCGGATATCATTGGAAATACGACTGTCGGATCCGACATTGATTCCTCAACCAGGAATCCAACGGGATTTCGTCGGATGGTAGAACCCCATAGAATCCGATGGGATTCGGTATCGGATTGATTCACCTGGGTAGATAAAATTTAACGTATACCTCTTGTGCAGTAGTTCAAAATAAGCTAATTGGAAAGAACTCGAGTCCATGACTTTATCAGATACTCTTGATTCAATAGTTCTGAATTAATCACTACTCAAATCGCATGCCTTTATAACTCAAATGCATGGTCTCAATATTCAAGCGCACATTATCAGTAGTTCGATCTTTTTGAGTTCCTACATTTGAGATAACCTTTTTAGTTTAGTGCTCACTAATATCAGTACACATTTTAATCCGATACATCAAACTAAACGAAACTTTTGAATTATTTCTAGTTCATTCATGATCTTGAAGAGAATCTTTCTATATGGGAAGCGAGGAAATTTCGTTGTATCAATCCTCTGATTGGGAATTGATTTTGTTAGTGTGATCTGAAAAATGTGAACGAACGTATAACATTGCTATCCTTATGCAACATCGAAATAACTGAATTAGATAAAGAACAAAATATATCTTTTCTTTGCAAAATATAAACACATGTTGCATAAAGAACACACATAAAGAAATGTTAGTGAAATATTAATTAATCGACAATATCGGGTAATTTTTCATGGCTAACAAACGAATTAAGAAATTTTTCTTCTTCACCACGTAATAATAATATTTCATCATCAAATTTTGCTCCATGGCGCTCGCGAATTAAAGCTGTACGACGAAAACCTTTTAAACTATGGCAATTTGTACAATTATCAACTGGATATTGCGACCAAGTGAAAACACGTTTATGACATTCCACACATTCGAAAAATTTTTGTTTTACTTCACATATTTTAACGTAATGTTGTTTTTGTTTACATAATATTGATTGTTTATATGCTGTATAATGACATTGACGGCAAACAACAACTTTAATGTCACGTTCCATTACTTGAAGGAGTTTTTCTTCAATATTTTCTTTCTTTTGATAGCGTTCAAACATTTCGTCGAGCGTCATTTGACTATATAAATCTGAATGCGATGATTTCATATTTATTACATCAAGAAAACGTTTTTCATCAACTGGTTCAGAATTATTAGTAAATGTTTTAAGACGCTTTGATGAAAGATCCGAATCCGTATCACTATTGGATCGTTTTGGTGACGAAGAAACAATTGCATCAGCAGATATCAACGATTGTCCATTGCCTGGTCTAATCTGTTTTTGAGCAAGACGCTGTTTAAGTATATCAATTGCACGTTGTTTAGCATTAGTAATTGCTTCAGAACTAGCTGTTTTTGTTAAATCAACAAATTGTTTGGGTGAAGAAACTAAAGAAGAAAAAAGAATATTTTTCTTTTTCTTTTTTTCTGCTCGTGATAATAGATTATAGAAAAACAGAAAAGAGAACAAAATAGTTTTCAGATAAATTCAATGTCCCCATAGTTTAAAAAATATACAGAGAGCTGAATTATGTAAAAACTCATTGTAAAAAGATGCACGGAATAATTATCAATATAAAAATTTCTAAAGCCAGACCTCAACAAAAATTCTATTAAAAAAATGACGAAAAAAACTATTCCAAGCTCGCCTGCCACATATATGTTGCATCGTACAGAAACGTATATTATCTGTCTGAAACATTGTTTAGAAAAGAACTTACTCTTTTTAATGACAGATTGAGAACGTATTTCATTCAGTGGTGAATTTTTTACTTCTCGTGTAGGTGATTTCGTTGCAGACAATGGATAAGATCGAATCGAAGTTGTCGTATCATCATCTCGAGTCTTTCGTTCATCATATCTTATTCTCTTCACTTTACCAGCTGCTTGTTTAGCTTCATAAAGTTCACGAACATCCGCCATTGAATCGGCTAAACCTAAAAAGAAATATATTCTAAAAATAGAAAAAATAGTATTCTAACTAAAACTAAAACAAACCTTTGCTTTCTTGTGTTCTTAGACATACCAATGGATCATCCTCGATACCTAACATGACAAGCATAGATTTTTCTTTAGTATTAAGTTCACTGCTCGATGGCTTTGATGATTGATTCATATTTTTTGATGTTGTCTTTGATGAACTTTTTGACCATGATGATGATGAGCTCATACTTCCACCACCACTACTACCAGCAAATTTCTTAGGTACAAATGAACCAGTACTTTGTAAATTCATTCTCGAATTATTTCCAACATTAAATTTATTTACATTTTGCTGACCACTTCTATGCAGTTGATGAGCATGTGTAACGCAATATTCACATTCGTGTCGGTTGACAAACATTTTACATTGTTCGCCAGACTTTGTTTTGGCTTTACATTGACCTAAATCAGGATTTGAACCCAGTATTGAAATATTTCGTTCATATTTTATTGATAATTGTCCCGGCTTTTTTGCATCACCTTCATATATAAGTAAAACACTTGATAAAGTGGTTTTCCACAATGATTGATGTGCGTCCCCGAATAGAAACATATTTATTGTTGTTTTAAAATCTGTTATACGCCAAATACTATATGTTGAACCATTACTGGCTTGTTTCACATCCGATTTACTAATTAATACAGCCATTGTACACCATTCGGCAGGCATCGGTGGAGGTTGTTTATCAATTTCAAATAAACGAATAAATTTGGTTGCAGATAATTTCAATTTTATTTCACTTGGCGTATAATTAAGTGTACCTATACGAATATGTGTTGTTGGATCAATATAAACTGATGGTGTAATTATTGATTGTGATGTTGAGCCAGTTGTTAACGTGGCTAATGTCGACGATTGTTGGATTTTCAATATCTGTTTTTGAGTACTAGAGAGAGAGAGAGAGAGAAGAAAAAAACACTACAGCCATAAACCATACCAATATCTGTACATGCAAGTCTTGAATTCTATTAAGCTATCTAACTATTGTAATTTACTATCAAATGTTATAAGAAAGCTTCAAACAATTCTTTTTGTTTCTCATACTTTGATGTTTTACTTCCGAATAGTTCTCCCATGTCCTTATCAGAAAATTTGTATGTAGAATTCTTTGAAGTTGCTTTTGGCTTATCAACAAGCGCACATGCTAATTCAACTAATTGTTCACGTGTCATTGTTTCAGCTTGTTCTGAAAACGATAGGTTTCGTGTTAATTCTTCGTTTTTCTTCTGTGCCTCTTCTTCTTCTCGTTGTTGTTCTTGCTCATCTGCAGCAAGTATTGCTGCCAATTCATCATCATCAATTTCATTTTCCATCTGAAACCGAACAAGTATATTTCTGATGAACGAATGAATAAAAAAATGTAATGTTCGTTCGAAAATCGATACTGTACATGAAAGAACCAATCCAAGTACAAAGCAATTGTTTAAGGACATCTATTGTAATTATTCGTTTATATTTTGGGACTCTACATTACTACAAAATGCGTAGCCATTCGTTTGATTTCATATTTCATTTGAAATAAAAGAATCGTCTAGGTAAGTTGAATATGAATTGTTAAGATCGAAGATTAGAGTAGACTTCTTTATTTCAATTAAATGAAGTCTTAGTATTTTCTTCGAAAATTATGATGAAAATATTCTCAATCGAAGGTTATCTTCGATTATTTATAATATTTTCTCTATCAAGGGATCTATACAGAATAACAGATATACACACAATAATAAAATTATTCTTGTTCAGAATTCTTTCGAGAAATGACTTGAATAAATATGTGAATTAATTTATATCTGTTTGATCTCCATAGAAACATGTTTTTATTTATTAACTGAATTACAAATTCATTTTTTGTTTTATAGGATCGTTGATCTTGGCCTATGGCAGCTCTCTATTGATCGGTTTACCTTTTAAATTCAATATTCTAAAAACGAATAATAGATATGAATTGATTATGCGCCATAATTAGTCAATTGCAGCCATACATTTACTACCAGATTTAGTTTTTATCTTTTTATTTAATAAAATTAATTCAGTTCAATGAATACATTTTTTATTATTAAATTAATCATAAGGAAAAAGTTCTAATAAATAAGAGTATTCAATTGAAAAGAAAATGGTTCTTTTTTAAATTAATTCATTCTATACTTATCGGTTTGAAATAACAAGAACACTTTCAAGTACCAACAGTATAACTACCACTGTTAAATCTTTCCAATGGGTCATCATCGCTTTCTTTTAGCATTTTTTGTAATTTTTTTTCCCGTAATTTACGTGCATAATCAGCATTCATTATTGTGATTGAGTCTACTATCAATTTGCCTCCAGCAACAAATAAAAATAGCACCATTAATACTTGTACAAGATCATCAATATGTGTAAATTTATTTATAAATATGACACGATCCCAAACTATAAGCGGCAAGACCATAATAATGCCAATTATAGAATTAATTGTATCAAATTTCAATGCTGTTGATTTTATTTGTTTACTAATTGTCATCTTTATTATTGATAATATTGTAAATACAATAATATATATTAGAGAATATATCACTACGGTCATATCTGGTCGTACAGTAGGTGGTGACATCATACTTTGTATTGCACGTGTTTCAATAGCAAGAAACGATCCAATAAATAATGCACCTATAACACAACAAGCAAGTCTATCACGACGGTTGACATCATCAATTGATTTTGCTGTTAAATGCCATGCTACAAAACTTTCACATAAGGAATCCATCAATGCATGAACAGAATATGAAAAACTACCGAACGATCTTGTACGCATACAATTTACGAATGCTGTTAAACCAAGTGCAATATCAAATACAACTGAAATAATACATGACCAAAAAGCTATACGACGTAGACGATGAAATCGTTCATGGCTTATCGGAGTCGATTTTAAATTATTATCAATCGGAATACTGAAGTCTGGCGAATTAGTCATTGATAAAGGGAAATGTTTATTAATTCAACAATGCCATTTTGTATCCAACCAAAATAATTTTTTTACCACTACACCTATTCCTCGATACTGCATATGTATGGTTACGATATCTTTTCTACGGTAAAGCATCATCAATCGAACCGTTGAACCGAGACTATCATCACATGGGAGTACTCTTTTTTTTTCTTCTTCTTCTCCTAATATGCAGAACGAGATACAAAAAAAAGAACAACACGAAAAAGAGCGACAAAAGAAGAAAAAAGATTCAGAGTTGTTTGGCAAGTAATTGACACCGATCATGTTCTCCAGTTAGACTAGCTAAACGAACATTATCATATTCAATATAAATAAGTTCATTGTATTTTTGGAAATCTTGTTTACGAAATGCTTTAGCTGAATAAAGACTTGTAGCTTCGGAGAAAGCTGCGTTAATATTGAGTTGAGTTTTAGCTCGTTCCAAGCTTGCACGAATCAATTTTTCTGTTAATCTTAAACCACGATAGTGTACATCAACAGCAATAACAACAACATGTAATAAACGATCTGTATTCAGTTTTTGAAATAAATCAACATTGTCATGAACACGTTGAAGAACACTTAATATAAATCGTAATTTTTCAGATTGGAAATTTTTTATATCAAATTTATCTTGATTATCAATCGTTGCTGATAATGGGCGATATTTTATGATATTTAAAATAACACCAATGGCATTTTGCGTTTGAATATCAATAGCAACAAATGAACATTGATCTTCTAAAGCTGTTGATATAACAAGTTCAACAAAATCAATGGGTTCATGAGGAAGAGCAAATGCTAGACATTTATTTAATGGTTCATCACGAAAAAATGTTTCTGTCACAAGTTCAAATACTTTTTCACGATGTTCATCGCGCATGATACGTAAATCAATTTGTGGTGATGCAAGCCATGTCGTCGGCGAAGGTGATGATGTTGTAGATCCAGAAAGTGGGGAATATGAATCACATATATCATTCAGACGTTTTCGTAGCAGAGATGAATGCATTGAAAAATTATTTTCTTGTTTATCGACAAATAATAATCCTTCAAAATATGATGTTTTCTGTTGTGTTTAATGCATGAGAAAGATGAACCGTTGACAATGAATAGAATCATCCTGCTCTTATTATTTCTCTCATCAAACAACAAAGCGAGATAGAATGGAAACAAAAAAAAGAAGAAGAAGAAAAAAAATAATGGAATCCCATCATCTTCAATGTACCATCCATGAAGAAAGATAGCAAAGGAAGATCTAATTTAGTCAGCATCCTCTATTGCTTTTGACATTTTTGTTTTGTTTTGTTTTTCTAGTTTAGTCTTTCATCATAATAAATCGTCATGTCTTTCTTTCTTTCTTTCTACCGATCGACCTTAATTACATGCACATATTGCTCGTGAATGAAAGAAGTATTTGCCAGTGGGCATTGATCATAAACTGCATCGAACCAATGAATAAATCAATATTACTCAAGGGGAAACATAGTGACAAAACTAATCAATCGAAATATTGACAAACAAAAAAGTATTTTTCTCCGCGAGAGAGATTTCTCGACTTATTGATAAAAATCTCTTTTAATAGAAAAAAATACGTATGAAAAAAAAAGAAAACATAAAATTAACACAAACGGACAAAGCAAATCGTTAGGGATAAAGGTATTCTTCTTTTCTTGCAAATCTATGTATAGAACAAATTATTTTTCTTTATAGTAAAAAAAACAAAAAGATAGAGAGAGAGAGAGAGAGAGAGAGACCAACTATAGAGAGAAAAAGGATGACCAAACATATAGATGTAGAAACGAGAACAATGCTGATTCATTCATTTGTTTGTTTTCTCTAACTCATTTCACACATCATAGCACCTTGACTAATAAAGAGAAAAAAAGAGACGAGTAGTTTGAGCATGCGTGCACACAAGAGTATAACAAAACTACTCAAATGAGAGAAAAAAAAGAAAATATAATTAAAAAAAAGAATGAAATTCTCTAGCATATATGCATATAAATAAAAAGGAGAACTTTTATGATTCTTGTTCGATGTGATTTTGATTCGATTTGTTTTTTTTTAGACGACCTCGATATGCCAAGGAGAGCCTGGAATATGTTGATCGCCCCATTTAACAACCAACATATATTCACCTTTTTCTCGTACAGTCTAAAAAATAAAAATATTTGATACCTTTTTGTTTCTTTTTTGAAAGATCAAATGAATGTTTACATATTGAACATTGTATTGATTATTTCCAACGTGTTTAATAAATACTTCTTCACATGGATATTTAGGACCGAATACACCTACCATTAGCATAGCATTACCTATATTTAAAACAATGCATGCATAGTTATTCTTAATCCAAACAGCTCTTACCGCCATCACGAGTATCTACTGTAAATGTAGCTTTTTCATTACGATATGCACGTGATAAACCATCTCCTTGTGCTCGTACTCGACTGGCGTCAATACTTGCGTAATTGTTTCGTGAATTTGATGCAAATGATGATGATTGTTCAATTGTATTATATGTTGATTGACTTGCTAAATTGCCTTGTGAACGCTGAACATAGGATGATGATGTAGTCATTGTACCGAAACCACCGCGACTAGCATTCAAATTCATACCTAAACATAGATTATAGGTTTCATTTTCAATACAGAAAAATAAAGAAATATAATTATAATAATATCTAACTAGTCACACCGATTGCTAGTTTTTAGCGGATACCGGATGTTAAGTTTTCTGATATGAATCCTCAAAATTTACCTAGTTAATGTAAGTGCTGATATCTACTTTCACTATAACACCGTGATACTACCAACTCTAATCAAAGATTGCATGCTCGTGTCTCACATTCTCAAGAGAGTTTCGTCTTAGGAAATAGATGAGTGCCCGCCGAAGATGATGATTACATTTCGAAAGTGAATACAAGCCATCGAGTAGAAATTTTTCATGCACGACTTCAAGGACAACTCAATAGATTCTATCAGATACATAGCCGTGATGTTGTCTAGACGAGTCGAATTTTCAATCGGAATTAGTTTGATGCTTATTGAAACAAATCTACTACTAATATTATTATGTTAGTAACATCATATATTGCGTAAAATAGTTTGTTTACTTTTGAATTTCTACTAAATCATTTTTATTGCTAGCATATGTCAGAAATAATTACCTCCAACCATGCACTTAAATGGACTGCCAGCAATATTAATTCCGGCAAATTTAATTGTAATGAGATAATCGCCGGGTGCTGTTGGTGTAAAGCTTACACGATAACCTAATCATAGAGAATAATTTTGTCAAAAGTCTAATTATATAATTAACAAAAAAAAATATATACCTTCGGATACTTCTTTACAATCTAGTTGAACTTTCGATGGTCCATCAACAGTAACAGCTAATGCGCCAGCGCCAGCGTTCATTGTATCAATTAAAAATTCACATGGATGACCTTCAATTATGAAAATAGAATAGAATTAAATTAAATCGATCGGTTATCCGTACCTGTTTCTCCTTGATATAAGCCAGAGCCCGATGCAAATACTCTGCCTGGATCAGCATTAGCATGACCGACAACAACACGAAATGGCGAATCAGGTATATCACGTCCATTAAAACGAACATGTACCCAATGAACACCGTTTTCTCGTGGGATAAATCGAATAGCGTAATGTTCTAAAAATAAGTTCTCATGGAAATAAAAATAACAATACTCTGTTTCTTTTTACCATCGCCCATTTCTTGTACAATACAATTATCTTCTGTTCCACTTGGTGCTGTCACTCGAGCATCAAGTCTACCGCGTGCACCGTTTACATTAACAGTAAACATACATGGTCGATTAACTTCATGTCCTTTATTTTGAAGACTTTGTATTGTTAGTTTTTTCGCATCACCAAATGGTGAACCAATGACGACATTGAATGGTGAATCTGGGATATGTTCATCATTGAATTTGATCGATACTTGATATTCACCTGGCTCAGGACATACAAAAGATACACCACATGAACCATCTTTACGATCGAAAAAGTCTATTTCAGCTTTAGCAGGTCCTTCTATGGCAATAGCAAGACCGCCAGCACCTGCTTCACGTGTATAAATATTAAATTCATCTGAAAACAAACAAAAAAATAAATTTTCAGTATTCATAGAATAAATATTTAGTTTCGTTTCTCCTTACTGGTCATGTTAACTTCTCCACGTATAAGACCATTTCCAGTAGCACGAACTTTATGAGCGCCACCACCTTGTATTGGGCCAACAGTAAACTCTATAAGATATTAAAAGAAAAATATTCATTTTTGTGACGGAAAAAATAAACGATTTGATTTATTTACCAAAAGGACTGCCTGGGATATGCATATCCTTATGTTTAACACTAACTGTATGAACACCCATTTCTTTCGGGATAAATTTGATTGAATAATTACAATCATCGAGATCACTACAAAAAGGTTCATGAAACCATAAAACGAAATAGAACAGAAGAAAAATAAGATTTCAATTACTTACACAATCTCGCAATTTTCTAAATGTCCAGATGGGCTTGTAACATAGGCGCTCATATCAAAGGGTGAAGTGCCTAAAAATAGAAAGAATAACATGTATAAAAAAATAGGCACTAGAATATTAGAGGAATATTATTCTATCTCTGTCTGTGTCTCTCTCTCTCTCTGCTAGCTCGCAAAAATGAAAAACCTGGAAGAGTTTGAAATTTAAATCCATGAAAATAGGGGACATCATGATAATGTTCTGTTCCAGCTTGTGATTCTCTAGTTGCATTGCTTATTTTTGTATACGAAGAAGATACATTGGATTGTTGTTGTTGTTGTTGTTGTCGTTGTGCCATTACCGATGATAGATTATCTCGACATTGATAATTTGTATTACCACCAATCGGTATAGCTTCATTCAATAGTCCACTGTTACGATCAAATACTGATGATGAACTCGAACCAAGACGGTTTATCCTTGTAAAATTTCTATCCGAATCAATCATGGCAGGATTGACTGACAATGGTGACGATAATGGTTGCCCCCATGATTGACTTTGTTCTTCATGTTCACGACGAATTACTGGTTTTTCATTATTTACTTGCATCATTGCAAAATGTTGATAAGATGAACGACTTTCGCCGCTAGCATTACTAGTCGGAAGATTACCGTTGAGATACATTTATTATTTCTTGGTACTTCTCTTGTTAAACAGCCGCTTCGTGTTTGATGGTGGTTATCCGTTTTTTTGCTAGTCTTATATGCCTATGCCTATGTATTTCTCTGCTCGTTTCTTTTTATTTATATAATAACATCAGTCGTTCTCTTTGCCTCGACACCGAAATAAACATAGATGTATTCTAGTCATCTGTGCAAAAAACGATAGTTGGTGATACGACATAGCCGATCTTTTTTCCCTTTCCTTTTTTGTCCTATCTTTATCGTCATCATCCTACACCGCCTACTTTTCTTTTATGTTAATGCAAAGTGACAAAATCTCATCTATCAGAAGGAAACTAGCGTCATCAAAGATAATATTGCTAACGATGTCGTTGGAGAAACTACTGATAATAAATGTTTGAGACGCATATAGACAGGCAAACAGATAAATTCTTTCGGGCATTTCTTTTCGTTTCTCCTACACATACGTATATATTGTTTATAGACCAAATAGGAAACGACCAAAAAATAAACTGAGGTAGAACAATACTTGCCAGGGATTTTTAATGACAATTCACATTGACTACCAATATGTGTTATATCAACAGCACGACGTTCACGAATAATACTTTCTTTCAATCGACCAGATCCTTGACCGCCAACATTGACCGTAAACGGACTACCTATAAGAATAATATAAGAAGACAGAAAGATTTATTAGAGATCAAAAAATCAAGGTTAAATTCAATTTGAAGTAGATATTATCAAGGTCTAAAATTAGATTGTTGACTAATCATAAGCGAACCTTCTAATAGACGATATCAATCAAGATGTCGACCAAACAAGAGACGACAAGAAAATGACGTATTCATTGGCCAAACCAATTTAATCAAATAGGCGTTAGAAAATTATTTAGACTTCATGCATGAAATAACTCTTTTCAAGGTTACGGTTGAGACCAAATGAATGTTTGCATCGAATATTACATCAGTTAGAACTAGATTTTGTTTTGGCTTAATTGAATACAAACCTGGTACATGTTTATCAGCAAATTTGACATTAACAATATAAAGACCAGGCTCAGTTGGTTTATAACTAACAAGACAAGAACCATCTTCATTATCATGACATTCAATATCGGCTTTTGATGGGCCTTCAATCGAAAGTGATAAGCCACCATAACCTATTGAAATCGAAGAAAAAACCAGAAATTTCTAATTTATTTCCTATAATTTTATTGTTATGACTTACCAGCATCACGTGTAACAACAGTAAATTCATTTGTTTGATATGCATAACCTATAAATAATAATAATAATATTTTGAAATTAGATAACGACCGAAAGTTCTGCTTCTGACCTTCTTGTAGACCACGTCCATAGACTCGAACTTTACTAGCATCACCAATTTCCGATGAACCAACATGTATACGAAACGGACTATTCTTAATATGTTGTCCATCACGATACACATTAACTAAATGATCACCAATTTCACGTGGTATAAATGAAATGCCAAGACTTCCATTGGCTAATTTTTTCAATATACATGGTTCTTCGAAGCCACTTGGCGAACGAATTGTTGCATGCAATTCATGTATATCCATTTCGGTGACACGTAAACTAAATTCATTTTGATTACCAAGCATAACATGTGAACGTTTGAATTGATCTACCGATGATGGTAAACCAGTGACTTTAGCAGTGAATGGTGAACCAACAATGTGCTGATCAGCAAATTTAACTGTGATTGTATATTCACCTGGCGCAGTCTTAAAATAAAAATCAATTAATCAATAGAGAAACGCTTTTCAATATAATATTACCGGCCAATACGTGACATCGCATGTACCGTCTTTATTATCTTTACATTGAATTTCAGCTTTTGAACTGCCTTCAACAGCAACGGAGAGACCACCAGAACCAGCATCTTTAGTAACAATACGAAAGTTACATGCTTCATTGCAGACACCATAACTAAGACCAGGCCCATAGGCTGTCACATAGCCTGTTTGAACTTGATCAACATGAAATTTAAATGGTGAACCAGCTATAGGTTGTCCTTGATAGAAGACATCAAGTTCATGAAGGCCAACTTCAGATGGTTGATATTTAATTGACACAGTTCCATCTTGATTATCCTCAATGACCGGTGTATGAATACGACCAGTTGGAGTTCGAATTAATGCTAAGACAAGAACATGAGAGTTTAGAAAGTTTTTCTCTTTATATATTCATAATTGTAAAAGATTAATACCTTCAAAATCCATTTTACCTTCTTTTCTTTTTACAATGAAAGAATAAATATATATATATATGTGTGTGTGCGTGTCAAGCTCAATCAAATATGCGTAACAATTGCTTTCTTTCAGGCTGCTTACTTCATCTCACCAAACGTTCAGTATAGCGTAATTCGATTCCAAGTCATACTTTTTTTTTGCTTTCTATTAGTATCTTTCTTTTTTCCTTCTCACACTGTTTATGCGAAGAACGACGAGCACCGGAAGCATACACACAAATTCTTTTCATTCATTCACTCTTATCAATACATGAAGAAGGTAAAATGTTATTGGTATTAAAAACGAAAGGCAAAAATCTTTCGTTTTTATGAAGATTTATCACAATAAATTCGCTCATATTTATTCAATAAATCGAACGTATATAATACATAGAAGAGAATAAGCACGGGTTCATGACAAAAAGTCTTTACTATATTTGACAAAAGTTTCGATTCTATTCAATTTAAAATGCCAAATGAAACCGTTTTTTTTATTCGATAAATTTTGCACAAATCCTATAGTAAGATTAAAGTACAATAAGCAAACGGCAAACTTTAATCCGATGCCTTCAAAGGCATGGTCGTCGTCATAGGTCGTGAATATCTACATACGAAATATGCTACTGATGAGGTAATCACTCAAACTAGCATCTGTTACTGTAACTCATATTGGAGTCATTAGCAAATCCTTGCAGAACTAGGAAATATCTAGAAGAATTCATTCCTATGGGGCCTTTAATGGTCTGGTAATAACTCTGCACATGAGCAAGCTTCTACAAAAACAAAAGAAAAAAGATTTAAGACGGCGAGAAATTCTTTTCGATCAATACGTTACATCATGACATTATTTTATTTTAAAGTTTTCATCATTCAACTGAATGAAATGAAATTAGATCTTTTTCTATATCTTCATTAAGTGTAAATTTCAGCTCTTTGTTATAACGAGTTGCAAAGTTATAACAATCTGACGGAACCGAATGGATGTACTCAGGCAGCGGAGATCAGCTTGACCCTCTCACGCCTTAGAATCATATACTAAAAGAAAACAAACGAGTCCAGGTCGAAAAATCTGGCGCAAGATCTTATCAGATCTTACAATATGATTGCTCGACCTGGGAGACATTTATATATTTTTTTACATACCACTAATGTCGCCAAATTGACCACCACCCACAGGCAAACGAAAATCAACAGGACGATATTGACTTGCTGTATGACGTGATGTAACTGTTTCAGTTACTTGCGTGTCGCGATAGTATTTATCACCATCACCAGCCTTTTTTAGACACAGAAAAAAAAGTCATTAGCTTATAGATTTCATAAATATAAAAACAACTAGAAGTTTGCTTAAGCAAGATTGCAAGAGAAAAGCAAAGAGCATATTACCATTGAGACATAGATTGGCGAATAGATTGTAGCCATTTTTTTTCAATGTCACAGAACAATTAAAGAAGAAGTGAAACTTTCTATTTGATATCTTTCGACATAGTGTCCGGAAAGGATTATGCTATAAGCACTCTTTAGTTTTGTTATCTTTTAATGCGACACCTCGAATCATAATCTTATATATATATATATTTTTTCGAGTGTTGCATATTTTAAAAACGAGAAGACCAAGAAGAAGAAGAAGAAGAACGTGATCTGTGTGTTTTGATTAGTTAGCCATCAATATGTGATAATTATATCTAAATTTTAGCATACCCTGATATCTGGCGTACCCTAGAAGGAGAAGAAGTAGAAGAAGGAAAGCAATATAATCGAGCTGAATTTTTGTTTTTTCTGTTACACACAGAACAGCGATTGCTTATGATCTGTATTTTTTTTGCATTTATATGCCTACCATTGTTGGAAAAGGCTAAATAGTGTTAGTAGAAGATTTTGTTTTGGATCGAAAGAGAGCATCATCGTTAGTTTATATGTAATAAAAGAAAAGGAGAAGAAAGAATGCTTTTGTTTTATCAAACTTACCGTAACAACAAAATCACCGCCCGGTATATCTTGTCCACCAAATTTGATTTTAATAACGTAATTTCCAGGATTATGAGGTGTATAAAAGAGATTAAATGTTCCATCTTCATTATCGACAATATCAATATCAAGATCATTGCCAAGCGTCGAGCGTATACGACATGTTACTGCACCTGGACCAGCTTCATGAGTATCAACTGTAATTGTATATTCTTCACCAACTTGAAGATTAGGATTGGTACCATTGCCTAGAGAAAATTCAAGAAAAATATTTGTTTATTTTAAGCTAATTTAAATGAAAATTTTTGTTACCAGAAATATGGCATTTAGATGGGTCTCCGATAGGCTCCACTTTCACGTTAAATGGTGAATTATTGACTGGGAAACCACCATAATTAACATTAATTATATATCGACCAACATCATTTGGTTTATAGGTGACCTTGTATGTGCCATCTTTATTATCAACGATTTTCGATGGAACTAAAAGACCTTCGGGATTCTAAATAAAATTGAAATGCAAAAATGGAAATAAGATAACGGAAAAACAAAATTCGAAATAGTTTTACTTTAATTAAAACGTCTGGATGTTCAAAACCAGCGTCACGTGTATCAATGTGAAAGTATGTTTCAAGTGATGCTGGAATACCGTTATGTATACCAGGACCTTCAACAATAACTTTATGTGGTTCAAAATGCGGAAGAACTTGAACGTTGAATGGACTAGATACAAAATAAGAAAAAAGAGAAATTTATTTTTCGAAACAAAAATGTTTCTTTTTTCATCTAAATACCTTCCACGAACTGGTTGATCACTCCAATTAATATCAATACGGTGTGGACCTTCAATTTGTGGAGTAAATTCTGCAACGTAAACGCCTTCACCTCTTGGACGAATACTTGCTGGTTTACGACGACCTGTGATATGAATAAAATAAAATGGTTTTCTTTTCTATACAATGAACGATATCAATGAAATTTTAGAACTCTTCTTTTTGACATGCGTTCGACAGCATATATATATGTATGTCGCGCAAGAAGAGAATCAGTGATGACGAGGAAAAGGTTAATGAAATGCGATTATATCGAAATAGTGGTACCATCTGTCTCTCATTTCTATGTTATTGACTTTATTTATAAAAATGTTCGATGTATTTTCATTATAACCTTTAATGTAGATATCGAATACGTAGAAATTGAGTTTTCTTTTTCTTCTCTCGTGACTTATAAACTCTCCAACTAAGAACAACGTACCATGAATATCACTGATTTCAACAGACGGTGTACCAGGTCCAGCTGCTTGACCATCGATTAGAATTTCTTGTAAAACGTTAGCACGCATGGCTGGGCTCATTTTAACATTAACATGATTAGCATCAAGTCGATCACGTACGAGAACTCGAAATGGCGAGCCTGGAATATGTTGTTCAGCAAATTTAATGGCAATATCATATTGACCAGCTTTTGTCTAGAGGGAAAAAAGGAAAATTTACATTTTTTGTTTAATGAGCTTCATTTTGTTTATTCTTACAGGCAAATATTCCATAATACATGTACCATCTTGATTATCTTTGCAGACCATTTTAGCTTCGGATGGTCCTTCAATAGCTAAACCAAGACTGCCTTGTCCGGCACCTTTGGTTTCAATAGTAAATGTTGTTGGTTCATTTGTAATTGCATATTCAAGACCAGGTCCATAAGCACGTACACGTAATGGATCACAACCTGGAATAGCATTAATACGAAACGGACTGCCTGGTACAGGAATATTTTCATATGTAACTTCAATTTGATGTATGCCTATAAAATAAAATTTACTTAAAGAAGAAATATTTTCTATGAAATTACCTTGTTCGTAAGGTGCATATTGCACTTGATAGGTACCATCGCCCATATTTTTAACAGGACATCGAACAATACGACCACTTGGTGATGTTAATAAACATTCAACATGTCCTGCACCGCTACCAGTAACTGATTTAGCATCGACAGTAAATTCAGTTGGACTTTCAAGAAACACTCCTAAACGAAATAAAATAGTCATTAGCAAAAATTCATGCGCAAATAAAATAGTCAACATCATGCATTGAAAGAAAACGACACGAACACCACTGTATAGATAGAATATTTAAAAAGAAAAACAGATTTATACTAAAGGTATGAGTATATATATATATATATATACCTCAAAAATTTTAGTAGAAAACTTTACCACTTCAAAAGCAGTAATTCATGCGGGTCAAATGAGTCAATTGAAATGATAGCGCATGCAGCATCATTGATTAGATATGTTTGATTAAATATAGATATAGATATAGATATATGTTGTCGCCGAATCCATATAGTACACACCCGCGGGATCAAGGCCGGGTCCATAACAACGAATAGCTCGTATATCAAGATCGGCTCGTACAGCAGCACGAAATGGTGATCCCGTTATATGTTTTCCTTCGTATAATATATTAATATTGTAATTTCCAGCGACTGCATATACATCAATGTTTTAAATTTTACGAAACGATGATTTAAAAAAAGGGGCTACCTGTTGGATGATAGGTTACACGACAACTACCATCATTATTATCTTGATAGTCAATTTTCGATTCTGATGGTCCTTCGACCGTAATGCCCAATTGACCATTACCAGCTCCACGCGTATCAACAATGAAATCAGCTGGTTTATTTACTGTGCCTTGTGATAGACCTGGTCCATAGGCACGTACTTTACCTGGATCAAGTGGTTCAATAGCTGTGACTTGCGCAGGACGTAATGGTATTGTACATACTTCAGGTTCAATTAGATATGAACCTGGTTCAGGCACATTAAAACGAAGATTATATCCTTGTGGTGCAGGTGTTACAATAGCATCTTGTATATTGCCTGATGGTCCAATGACTTTAGCATGAACCGTATTTGGTGGTAATGGACCAGCTGCTAGTGTATTCAATGTTACCTGGGCAGGCTGTCCAACAATAGGCACTACGATGGATGAGAGAGATAGAGTGCGTGTAGAACGAAAATGAAAACAAAAATATAGAATAAACAAGGAGTAAGGTTTCAATGCGCACACACACATTTAGAAAAAAAGAAACGAAAATAAATTATATATTTGTTTTTGCGTTTTTGCTTTTTTTTATCTAAATCTATGTCTATGAGCACTAAATAGAAACACTTACTTGTATCAAGACCTTCAATACGTATCTTACTAACATCGACGCTTGGTTCAACGTTAACTTTAATGGGTGATATTGGTATTTCAGTATCACCAAATAAAACACTAATACAATGAACACCTGGTAATTTAGGTGTATATGCAATTCGAAATGTTCCATCTTGATTATCATCAATATTAAATGGTACGTCTTGATTTTTAATGTCGGTTAATGCAATTGAAATATCTCCTGAAATGGAACCATTTTTCTTTTTCGAAAACGTACTGACATTGAACTTAGATTTATTTACCTGGTCCAGCTTCTTTGCAATCAACAACAAAGAATGTTGGAATATTCATTTTAACGCCACGTTCAACACCAGGACCATAGACACGAACTTTTGAAGGATTCGATGGTTCAGTTGGCCAAACCTAAAAGTATTTTCTCATGTGAAAGTTTTGTTTGTTTTTTCTCAGAAGAAAAATGATTACTTTAAAAGGACTATTTGGTATAGCAACACCACCATAATCAATTAAAATACAATGACGTAGAGCATTACGTGGTGTATAACGGCAATTATATGTTCCATTACCAGTATTACGAACTTGTACATCAACTGGTTGATATTCTTGATCAATAGCTTGAACACGTAAAGGTGCCTCGCCAGCATTATGTGCATCGATAGTGAATTCAGTTGGTTTACCAATAATTTGTCCACTTGGTTCAAGACCTGGACCATAAGCTTTAACCTAAAAACAAAAGATTTTATTTTAATTTTCGCAGTTCATATCAAATACTATTATTTTACTTTATTTGGATCAAAATTTCCTGGTGCTTCAATCCAAGCCATAAATGGTGATAGTGGTATATCTTCATCATTACAAAGAATGTGTACTGCATATTCTCCAGGTATTGTTGGCCAATAGCGAACATTAGCCGAACCATCACCATTATCCTTGCATTCAATACGCGCTTGTGATGGTCCTTCGATTGAAAAACCTTGAAAAACAAACAGATACGTTTTTTGTTTAAATATAGATAGATAGAAAGAAACAAGTAATGACAAAATAAACACCGTGCTTTCAAATGAAAAACATAAACAAAACAAACGGCAATACTTACTGATATCGCCTAATAAAAATGAGTTGATAGAATTTATATTATCAGTTAAGCAACGGAAGAGAATAAAAACTAAATAGTTTACCTAATGAACCAGTTTCTCCATTGGTTTCGACAATAAAATCAGCTGGATAGCCAACAACACCACCTTCGAGACCTGGACCAAAGGCACGAATACGTGATTCTTTATAGGGCCCGACCGAAACTGGAAATGGACTACGTGGGATATGTGCACCACCATATGTTATGTTAACTGTATGAGGTCCAATTTGATTTGGTACATAACCACACTCATACGTTGTACTATTGGCCTTTGTTACACGACAAGGAATATCCAAGCCATCTTAAATCATAATAATTGATTTAGAGATTATTTAAAAAAACAAAGTTCTACCTGGTCCAGTGACTGTTGCTTTCATAGCACCTTCGCCAGCATCTTTGGTAATGACGCGAAATTCAGCTACATCACCTGTACGAACACCTTTTGGTTGAATACCACGTCCATATGCACGACATTTCTTAGCATCCGATGCTAAAAGAAAATGAACAATAAAACTATTGATGAAATCTTCTGAAATAGTTCAACTAAATCGAGTCTAACAAGAGAAAGAACTTAAATTTCGAGTCCTCTTACCAATATTGAATTTTAGTTTTACGATTTGATTAGACCACATATAGAAGCGTTACCAGAGGTTTCTACCTCCCAACACCACTCAATGTGTACTTTTAGATTTTTCCTATAGAACTTTTATGATTAACAATTTGAAAGAATTGTTGTGAATATTTTGAACTCGACTCTCACATAGATTGTGACAGACATTTTTTTTCTTTCTATAAATGATCAAAGATCATCGATCATTAACGTCTCGTTCGTTCTAATCTGTTGCATATTTGAAGGCTTAAATAACACAATGGTGAAAGCACGTGTCCCAAAATAGATTAATCTCTCTCTCTCCTTCTTTCTGATTGACAACAGCAACTACATGTGACTCATATTGTAATCCCGTCGGGATTAAGATAATAGCCTTTTCTGTTAGGTCGCCAAACAGAAGTTTATTTCTTTTATCAACAAAGCTTTTATACGTAAGAAAACAGGAAAAAATCTCATATGTCAATTTTGACGGTAGATTTTTCTTATGACTTTAATCCAAAATGGTTTAAATTAATTCAGCTAATTTTATTACAACTGAATAAAACAATATTTCATTACACCTTGAAATTGACATCAATTAAAAAGTTTTATTACGTAAGCGTTATGGCATGTTTATTTAGCCAATAAATAAGCGCAGAGTATTTATTTGGTTCAATGACATTCGTCATCCACGCACAAGGCCGAGTATACTATCGACTACATTAAGTGGCATGAGTGTGGCTGAAGTAGAGCAGTGTAAGTGAAAATAGTCACCGACGTGACTCGATGAAATTGATCGGCGGGGCATTTTACTAGTGAAAGCTTATGTTGGTAAACCATAGTTCTCAAGAATTTAGAGTATTCAAGAACGCATTTTGCTCTTTCGATCTCATAGGTAATTCAACGGGTGTCTGTCTCATAGTGCTTTTTTTTTCAAGCATCAAAATTATTCGACCTTATTCAATGTGCGATCACTATAATAATAAACTTTTCTTTATGTATATATATATATATACAACGTTCGAATAAATGACTACGGTATTTGTTGAGCTACGAATCTATGCCCATAAAATGATTCGGCTTCAAACTCTCACGTGTATATCCAGTTGTTTTCTGCTTTCACTACTAATATATACCGATCAGCAATTTGAAAGAGTACGCCTCTCGTCCTCCGAATTAATTGAACATTTCTATTCTCTCTCCTATCAATTGCACACTATTTTTTCTTCTTCGATATAGATTATATTTCACCTCTCGTTTATTCTAATTCAAGCGATAAATACAAATTCTTCTCATTTGTTGATAATCTATTTCTATTTATGATATGATAACGCGATATTGAAACTAATAGAATTTTATAAGCAATGAATTTCGATGGAATAAAATCATTTCTCTATACATACATGACGCAACATTTACACCATAGGGACTATTTGGTATAGGTCGGCCAGCAAAGAAAACATTAACTGAATGAAGACCAGGTTCGCGTGGTACATATTCACAACGAAATTTGCCTGGTCCTATTTGTTTAACTGATACGGGCACTACATCTTGTCGTCCTTGTGGATTAACAAGAATAACTTCAGCAAGACCATTGCCAGCACCTATTTATAATAAATAGATATTGGCGAATCAAACTACTAAATTCTATAACGAACGTGTGGCATCAATTTCAAACCAAGTTGGTTTATCAACCATAACACCATTTGGCTCAAGACCTGGACCATGTACAAGGCATTGACTAGCATCACCTGCTTTTCCTTCGATATAAGGTGAAAATGGTGATTTTGGTACTTCTTGTCCACCATATTTAACAATGACCTAACGAAATAAATACATTTTGTTTTTAAATATTTATTTTTTTGTTCTAATTGAAATTACTTTATATTGTCCTTCCATTGTTGGACAATAAGTACAATCATACGTTTGATTTTTATCATTACGAAATTCAATGTCACACTATAAAATAAGACATAATATGAAAAAGATTGATGTGAACAAAAACTCTCTATCGTCTTCTTCTTCTTCTTCTTCTTCTTCTTACTTTTTCACGTTGACCTTTTGGATTAATAACAATAACTTCAACATTACCTTGGCCAGCTGCAAATGTTTCTACATGAAATTTAGCTGGTGCATCGACTTGATTACCACTTGGCTCAATACCTTTTCAATAACATTCAAATGTTGTTCGCTATTTTTTGATACAAAAAATAAATCAATAGACAAACCTTTGCCATAACATCGAACACGTGCTGAATTTGTTTTCGGTTTAATTGGTGCTCCTGATTTTAATTTAGCACTTGGATATTGTGATAAATAGGTCATCATTGATTGTTCATCAACACGTGGATTAATCATTTCATGTGGTTGAATCAATTGCGGAATACCTAACCACCGTTCAGCTAAATCCATAGCTTCTTTAGCATTTTCCAAGGCATTTCTTGGATCACGTTTATTCCAATCAGGATAGAGACCTAGTGAAAATAAACATGCTATTCTATTGTCTTATTTCTTTACAAACGACTTTACCTGGTGCACAAGCATCAACAAGAGCACCAATAGCGCGGCCATCATTCCAGTCGGATGTAAAGTTTGTGATTGGTAATTCTGGTGGTAATTTTTCTTGAATCCAATTCATAAGTTTTTGTTTTGGTGTTGCATCTCGTCCTAGACCTGGTGCATCGGGTTGTTCGAATTCCCACATTGGCAACGAGATTGAATAATGTAAAATAAGTGTCCATATTAAACCAAGAATCAATTTTAATTTACCATCAACAATATGTGTAGCATCTTAAGATAAATAAAAATATTTTCTTTTGACGTTAATTGATGACAGATTTTTATGTCGTTGGTATTTCTTATGTTATGAATTTAGAGTGTAGTAAAAGATCACGACGAAACTTAATATGTTATCATAGTTTCTAATTAACTCGTTTTTTTTTGTGTTGAATTTATTTATTCATTCTTTTCTTTTCTCTGCTGTACTTGTTTGATATAATAGCAAGTCAAGAATAACATTTTTATGAAATAATACCCTCAAGCTTACATTTCATTAAAAGAAAACAGAAACCAAACCATTAGTTGATGAATTCGGCACTATGTTTTTAAAAGAATTCAAAAAATGCATCCGACTCAAGGATAACAACCTCTAAATATGTTTACTGGATTTATTCGTATATCAATAAGATGATTTGTTCAATGAGATTAAATGTATATCTGTCTATTTTATGCGATTGAGAAAGTTGAAGTTCTTATCAATAAATGAGGTTGAATATCAAAAACGTTGATTTATAATACGAAAACATGTTGTCTTTGATTTCTAATGCATCAAAGTGATTATCAAATAGAAGAGAAGTTCTATTATTGCTTTTAGTCTATGATTGAACTTCATCAATGTGATGAAATTTGAAACGTTCTTTATTGCAATAAACTATAAGACGAATCGACAATATTGATATAGGTGATTAACTATGTAAAAATCAAACGAATCCGTTTATTTAAACGTAACAAAATGAAAATAGTAAATCTTCTATGAAATAAAAAAAGAAGGAAAATCTTAATATACTCATCTCAAGTACTGCCCTTCTTTGCTATGACTGAAATAAACACATGGTTTTTGTCAATTCGTTTTAACTTACCGATATTAACAAGACGTATGCGTTCTGTATTTTCAAGAAAATCAAGTACGACAGATACATTTTCAAGTTTTTGTGAACGAAAATTAGGTCGTTTATTATATCGTGGTACTTTCTTCTGTGATAGAACTTCAATTAATGCGATTAAATTTAACCCATCACCGAATTCAGTCTGTAAATCATCACAATGACGATTAACTAATTTTAAGTGTTCATTAGCCCAACGTGTAAACGTATTTTGTTGAATTCTTTTCCATGGTGCATCATCAGCTAGTTCACGCTGCATATCTTCATCAAATTCTATACATAGGAATAAACAATCAAACAAAAAGGAATGTAGAATGAAGATAAGAAAAAAACACACGAACACAAAAAAAGAAAAAGAAACTATTTTCTTTTTGTTACTTTTATTTACCTTCTTCTGTGCGCCCAAATTCGTCTTCTTCAATTGGTTCACCTTGCTCGTTGTATTGAGGATTTTCAGTGTAGCCAGATCCGCCTCCGCCTCCACCTGAATAGCCGTTTGGTGACTGGTTGTACATGGTTGACGTTCTCTTTCTTGTTCTCTTTTTTTTGTTCTTTTACTGTGCCAACGACGGGCTGCGGTTAATTTGGTGGTTATACGTTTTCGAGTCGTAAATATGATTCACCTAATAGATGAAACAAGAGGAAAAAAGAACAAATGAAATTTTTCAAAAAAAATGTTTTGTATTTAGCGTGTGTCTGAGTGTGTGTGTGTATGTGCGAGAGAGAGAGAGAACAGAATAAATCTCCAACGCCAACGTCTATTAAAGAAGTAGTCAACACATACACACAAAAGAGAAGAGAGGCACCTGTGTAAGATGTGTGCATACGATGAGATATTTTGATAGACAAAATAGCAACAACAAAGAATGACTTGAAATATAGACGAGCACAACTGGGTAGGGTAAAAGTGTGCGTAATAGAGAGAGAGAGAGAGAGAAAATGCCACTGCAGGTTTTTGTTTTATTGACTTCTTATCACAAATAGAAGAGAGAACAAAACGGCTTCTGTCTTTTGTATGTTTGAATAATCGTACTAAATCGTCTTTGTGGGAATCACTAAAGTCACATAACCAATGAAACAAGTTAATGAGACAGTGTTCCTGAGAAGCGACATCTCTTTTTCAAAGAGAAAGACAGATATGTAGAAGATGTTAGAAACAAGAAGAAAAAGAAGAAGAAAAGGAAGCAAAGACTAAACCACACAGATAGACTTAATGATGAATGAATGTCAACTGGCCTATTGCGAAGAGAAAAAATATGGTTATTCTTGCGATTGCTACTGCGCGCATTGCATCTCAAAATAACCTATCTGTTTTTGTATCCTATTCAACGAACTATCAAACATAAAAAAATCTTTACACGTAAACTCCTAAGGCTTGAATACTATAATGTAATAAAAAAATAAAAAATAAATAAATTCAGACTGTATGTTTTTTAATATTATGTATTCTTAATCACTCACTTATCATGCTTTTTGTTTCTCTTATATTACAGGTGACAGAACAAGGTGCGTTCGTAACAGTATATTTGTTCTTTGTCATTATTATCTTCTCATATACTATGAATGAATGGAGTAAAACATTTATTTATTCAAGGTCTTCTTTTCCTACTACGAACATTTACACAAGTGCATAGAATTCTACTATATATACATATATATATATGTAATGAGCGACATTTCATCATACGATCGCATATCGATCATCTTCTCTTTTCCTGTATTCTTAAGACACGGTATTGTGTTGAGCACTCGATGAGTGGCATCACTAATCTTTTGTATATGCAGAATGAGAAAAAGAGGAAGAGGAAAAGGACAATCGACTTCTAAAATAACGAATGATTCTCATCATTTACAGGTTTTTCAAACGCTCTCATATTCATCATTCGATAATTGACATAGCATATAGCAAAAGAGAACGAGAGAGTGAGAGTGAGAGAAAAAAAAGGATTTTTGACGTAAGTTTAATTCTTTTATTGGTGTTATAAGAGGTCGTTATGTTGTCTCTCGTCTGTATTTTTTCTGCTCAAATGCTAGCGTTTAACAAAGTTTCCACTCTATTATATATATGCATGATTTGTGACCTTTAAGAGTTCTTTTTAATGAGAAAATTTACAATATTCAACTACTTATACTCACAGCACAAAAGCCGATTTTGTACTGTTGTCGTCCTTGTTGTTGTCTTTTTCGAGGGTTTTCGCTGCTGAGCAAGAGCTCCGCTAGCTTAGTTTGATAAAAAAAACAACAAAAGAGTATATAGATGCGCGCGTTACGCAAATGTATATACGTTATATGTGCGCCTGTACAGGATGCTGAGTACCCCAGATATGGAAATATCTTCAGCGTGGGTGATAGTTTGTGTCGCAAGAAGAGGACACAAACCTCAAGGAAAATAGATCGTCTTCTTTCTTTCTTTCTTTCTTTTTTCCCTTTCTTTTCTTGTACAGACAAGACCACCACAAAAAGGAAAAAAGAATTCCATCCGAATGAGTAGATATATATTTTTTCTTTATCGGATATTAGTCGAGGAAACCATAATTTTTCTTCTCTCTCTTCTTCGTCTTCTACTGACAATCAGTCATAAATTGTAAGTACGAGCACGACAGTGATGTCGCTTAGTCCACAGAATGATCTAGAAGGAAAGAAAACCATATACAAGACCGAAGACGACGGCAACAACAATAACAACAACATCAACATCAACAACAATAATAATAATAGTGCAGGCAGATAAAATGCTAGCAGTCTCAAACTATACAGAAAGATATTCTTTTTCTTCTAACATCGACACACACAGACTAACAGTCAGAACAGTAGGAAAGAAAAGGGTGGAAAATATTATATTGCTCTATATATATATATATATATATATATTGTCTCCACTGCGGTATCGTACATATCTATCATTCGTCTTCTTGCCATAAACTTACAGTACTATTGCGAGCAGTTGTACACAAATATGGAGGAGGAAAAAACATGATTACCACATTGATTCTAACACAAGCACACAACAGAAAGAAAATTAGAAGCAAGAGTAGTTGTAACACCACCATCATCCTCTTTCTTTATCTACCGTTATAGTATATCTATGGCCAAATGAGTGTTACGGTTATGATATGAAATTGAAGAATCAGTATATATTAATAATTATAAATATACATTTTCGAACAGGTGCACGATACAAATATGGCAGACAAACGAATCTTATCTTATTTGTCTATGCTTTGTCTATGTTCTTATTACACCAGATTCTTTTTCTTTTTGCATGGTTCTCTCGCTCTCTATATTTATCGGACAGTGCGTAAAACAAATATTACTTTCAAAATATCAAAAAGAAAAAAAAAACAGAAAATGAAAGTAAACATCTACAATGTTGTTTTTGTTTCATTTTACTGCACATTGAAAATGCCATTGATCAATCGATTGATAATAACTATAGGGATCTATTTTGTTCTCCTACTCACAGTTATTTGTTTCTGATATTGTACGTGTTTGGAGGATGAGATGCTATCAGTGAAAATGTTCGCTTTATTGGCGCGTTAATTTCTTCATTGATCAATAACGTAGGCATAGAGGAGGAAAACAAGAATGACAGATTCTCTGCAGGTGATGCTGTCTAAAGACATTTCTCATGTTCTTTCGCCTACGATGCATATCTCTCCAGTTTGTATTATCATTCCACTAATTGTGACTGTCTGTTGACTAAAAGACATTTTTTTCGATTATATACAAACAAAAATAGATACTGTACACGATTTATTTATATTATCAGCGTAGAAAAAAAGATCGATAAATAAAGAGAAATTTGTGAATGGGCATAATTTACAGTTACCGATTTTACTTGTTGACGTATCTAATTATTTTAGTAATTTGGTAGATTCATTGTTTGAAAGTAGAAAATTGAATACTTATGATTGTTTTATTTCAAAATATGAATAGCACGACTTTCGTAATAGCATAGGAGCTATTAACTATACCTACAAGAAATTATTCCAAAAGAAGAATATAGATTAGAAAATTGAAAACTAACTGTTTGTGTCTAAACGTTTTCATCAGAAAAAAAGCAATTTATAACATTCTGATGAGATTAGACACAATCAAATTAATCAGTGTTGATTGTATTTCAGCAAGAAAACATGTCAATAATGAATTATCTTGGAAAACGAAAGCAAACTATGATACGATTTCTAGCTACGATAAACTATATTAATATATATTCTTGTTAAATCGTCGTAGAAATTAAAATATTTTTCATGATCACCATGAAATGTTTCATATTACGTCAATCAAATCGCACAACTGAATTTCACGTCTAATTTCCTTCGATAAACAATTCCTACCTTGAATATTAGACGTGACAGTAACTAACTATAAAGAACTGAGAGAAGCACAAAAAAAGTTCTCTTTACCGAGAACTAATATGAAGTACGCTTATCGTTCTATAGAAGATATTCGATATTGTGTACAACAAATTCTAACTATGTTAAACTAACATTTCAATGCAAGCTGTGTATGTAGATATGGCTACAATCTTTCTAACATCGATATAATAAAATTTAATTCTCTATAAACTTTTATTAGCTTTAGTTTATTACGATAGAACAAACAAATTTTATGAGCGATGGTTATGTAATTTAACAAGTATCTTCTAAAGCAATATTAAGTTTTGAAAAACCATAATTTATTTAGTAGACTCTATTAATTATAGATGAGAGCATACGTTTGATAAGATCATAAGTTAGAAATTGTGATATTGTTTTTTAGTTGGGATCCATTGAGATACAGGATTTTCTTTAAGAAAATCTAAAATTTTATCAAATACTTTTCGAGATAATTCTAGCAGTAAACCTTGTATAGAATTCAATTACAAATAGTAATTCTCTTCAGTATCCGCTTACAATTAGAAAATAGCTGATTCTGGAAAAGCGGAAATCATTTTCTCTAGAAATAGATGCCACTAATTGAATTAAATACTATAGTGAATTTAAAAAAAAAAATTTTTATTTCACAATTTCAAACTACAACAAATAATAATTTTAATAGCGTAGTTATAATAATATATGTTTTGTGCTTAAAGGTTTTCAAATAGAAAGTGTGTGTCCATAGTATTTTTCTATCCGATATAAACGCAATCATAAGTTAGAAGTGTTTATATACAAGATCCATAGACATAACATTCAACATAGTTTACAAACAATAGAAAAAGCAATTTCGATCGGACTAAAATTTTAGTTTGAAACGGATACTTTTCTCAAATATTTATTCTTCGTTTTTTCTAAATATACTATTAGTCTGCTTCTATTTGTAATAATCAATATGCGCCAGATTTGGCTTCGTTTGTTTTTTTTTCTCATAGAAATCGATCTATCTTTCTCATAGAGATACAAAATTTTAATTGAAGTTAAATATTTAGTTTGCCTTTCTTGATAAAACTTTCTTCATGGTAAGAGCTTTGCTCTTTATCAAATAGCCTTGGTAGAGAATATATTTACTTTGAAATTATTTAAAAAATAAGTATAATTTGTTCAATGTAAATTTTTCTCTCACGTACACAAATTTTCCAATTTTCTTTATATATTTTGTTTTTACATAAATGTAACGAATAGATCTGTTTTCAGTATAATTATTCACCTAGATGTAATTTTTACTGAACATCAAAAGTATCATCTCTTTAATTTTGTTTCAATCCGTTGAAAATAATTTTCAGACAGATTATTTCCTCAGAAGCTGTCGTAACTCATACTTCTATGGCATGATTACTATTCCATATCTTTGTTTTAAATCACGATAATGACATATCTGGAATAAGTTTCTCTTTCCGCTAAGTATTAAGAAAGAAAATTATTCATTTTTCTTCACTTACTTACGACCTATCGAGCTAGTTCAGTATGTGCTCGTAGTCATACATAATTAATAGTAGCGAAAATTTCAGTTTGCATTTTTTGGATATAGTGACCTAATTATTTTTTTTTCATATCTGATCCCTCGTAGACGAAATTCGAAAAATACAGCGACTATTAATCAAAAATAAGTCATAGAGAATGTTTGTTATATTGCGTAATACCGATATGATAAAAGATATCTTCTACTGCGTATGAGTATGTACGTGTCAAAAATCTAACGATGTTATTCTTCACACATTTGACTAACTTGCGTCATGTATTGTATACGTATATATAAAACGCAGACAAAAATTTTTAAAAAGTATTAGCATTACAACATAATCAAGATATTGTTATGAAGATAAAGTTTGTTGTAAAAAATGATCGCTGCCTGCTGTATATTTTATCATTTTTGTGTTATTTGTTTTTCAAACGTAAAACATCGATCATTCGCTAATTCGACAACAATGAATCCTTTAAAGTGATTCCTGCGAATAACATCGTAGCAAACTAATGCGCTAAATCATGTTGTTTCACAAATATCAACAGCTGCGGTACTCAAATAATCCATGAATAATTATATCGAGTACATCTTTACCATAGAAGACAAATCAATGCCATCTATTAATAAATCATATATATATATATATTTGTTGAGACAAAGAAAAATTATCGGCATGATTTCGTCTGATTTGATTATACCTCTGATTGAGCACGTATGTTGAGATAGAAGACCTTAATCAATCATTCGACGAGTGAGAGAAGAAGAATCGATACACACGAGATTATTATCGATGCACATTATTAGACAGTTCTCTGCCATAACCTTACAACAAAAATTATTCATACTATAACTTTCATAGATCACTCGATGACCTTGATTAAAGTTAGTAATCATATTTAGTATTAGTTGTGTTGGGCGGTGAAATTTTTTTTTTCTTTTCAATAATATTATATTACATCGCTTGAGTGACAATAAAGGTAAATCTTAAACCGATCATTAGTTACGTGACATCATTTCGGTCCAAAAATGTGTTTCCTTTTCTTTTAGAAACGGAAAGCAAATGTGATTAATACAGATGACGGATTTTCATTCATGATAAAACAATGCGCACGCAAGTGAATATGCGCCAAGATTTGCCTGCAGGCAAACACCTTAATTTCTAGTTTGAAGATAGATGACCTGGAAATTCTTTCGTTCTCCTCCTGATAGAAAGCTTATTGAAATATTAATGAAAAACAAAATTTATCTTAGACAGAAATTAACCAATCTGATGAAAAAGTAGTCAAAGGATACGTTATATGTGTTTACATAGATCTAGAAATGCGTGATCGTACTTTTACCGATTAGGTTTTGTATTCATTAAATCGTAAAAATAAAACAGATAAACAAGATTTTGTGATTTTAACTACTTTATGCCATATTTAGTATAGATTTTGTTATAGAAAAAATTAATTTACATAATCTTTATCTTTTAAAACTCGTCAAGTTTATTTAATGAAATAAAAGATTTCTCATTTCTACTATTTTAAATCCCAGCATTATTTTCGTGAAAGAAATATTTTCATAAACTCTTTCGAAGTACGCTATGCTAATCACGATTGATGTGAATAATAAAAATGCAAATATGCTTAATCATTCAAGACGTATTTTTCTTTTTTTTTTGTGGAACAGCTCTTCCTCTTGATCTTAAATAGAAAGAAAAAGGCTAACAAACGCTAATCATCAATTACTAGAACTAATTGAATCGTTTAAAACTGTTTTTTATTTGATTGTTTTTCTATACAAAAATCAATAGCTACATTTTTTCTCATTCATTTTGCTATTGAATGCCATAAAAAATAGTCGATCTCGTTCTTTTACGGTAGACTTATCTAGATAAATGATAATTACAAATCAATATGGAATCTTCTATTGTTTTCTAGTGATGATATAGAAATGATACGCATGCTATTTCATGCGTTGTCATCTTCTTGTTTTGTCATATCGCCATTTCATCTCATTGAACAACGTAGACACACGAAAAAACAAAAGAGAAAAGAAAAAAAGCGAGCTACAACACGCACAAAGAAATTAATGTGAAAGACTGATGGTGCAAAAAACTGCACCTATTTGTTTTGTTTCTTTTTGTGCTAATAGAACATACAAAAAAAAAAGAAAAAAGAAGGAAAAGAATAATCGCTGTACATATAAAGTAATTGATCGTTGAGAGTCTTGTTTTCTTTCATCAATCTATTGTAGAAACGAAGGCAAAAAAATATAGAAATTCATATCATCACCGAGCCGGATGTATTGAGGATGCAGATGTATAATCTCATGAATTTGATGTTGTTAAATTTAGTAAATTTTCATTAGGTGATGTTAAAGAATTAACTATAGTTGATGTTGATAATTTTGAATCATTAGTTATTCCATTCGTATGATAATGAAACAAATTTTTTTGATAGTCATTTGTTATAATTGTTGACGATGAAGGAGATAAAGACGAAGATTTTGTTGTTGATAAACGACGTGAATCAAGAATATTTTTTACAGTTGAATCACTGGTACCATTTGGGTTGGGTTTACTGTTCAAACTAGATGTAGAGAACAGAACAAAAGAATTAGATTAGAAAAACAAAATGTTTGCTTTACATACTGATTGGATGTTAATTCTTTATCAATAAAGTTTGGTTGTTGTTGTATATAAGACCCGTATTGTTGTAGAAGCATTTGCGGTGTCCATGTTGGATTAGGAATTAATGATTGTTCGTTTTCATCGAATTTTACTTTCGTCGTCGCCAATAGATTAATGGTCGATGATGAATTTTGTTCGTTTTCATTTGTGATGGCTGTTGGATCTTCATCGGATATATCAGAATAAGCCGGTGATGATGAAGTTGGGAGAGATTGAATAGTCGGAGTTATATTAATTGGAACAAATGTTGTTGATGGTGGCGATGATGGCGTAGGAATTTTTACAGGTTTTTGATTATCATTATGCTGAGTTTGATCAACTTTGGAATTTGTCCACGACGAAGGAGAAATCGATGGTTCATTTTTAATATGTAATAGAATGTGATCAGTTGATTTAACTGTAGATTTGCTTTCATCGTTATCTGAATTTGTTTCATTATTGTTGAGTATACTTCTAAACAGAACATGAAAATTAATTATATTGTGTACTAATAGAGAAAATTAGGAATTTTTGGAAATGTTTTTTTTATTATAATTGAACGACACCAAGAAGTAGATGCCGGAAAGAAAATTATTCCAGAAATCCGTTTGTTTCTCGGAAAAGTAGGATCTTTTATAAAAAAAAGAAAAATTTTTGTTTTTGCTTTTAAGAATACAATACGAGTTGATAAAAACGATGACTCGGTCCCTGCGAGAAGCAATCGTTTTAATGTGCAATGATTGTTAATGTTTATTTACATTTTACTTCATTCTAATCTGGTCTTTTTTGTTTCAAACTATCAAGAGTCACGAACCCTGCAGCAATGTTCTCTATTTTTGAAAGGGTTTAGTATTTCTTATTAGGTTCTATTTTGATAGATGAGTACTTTGCCGTTTTCATTAGGTTAGGATCTCGGATTTCCTTAGTGCGTGATGGAATTATTATTATTTTTTTCTTCTCTCTATTACAAGCACACAAACCTAGTTGGATTTGTTGATAGTTGCATTGATATTTGTTCATTATTATTTAATGGTGATGATCGAACAAGATTTGAAGAAATTTGTGGACATGGCCACGTTAACATTGTTTGACGTTGATTTTCATGTGATGAATGTGGCGGTGACGGTCGTCGAACATAATCAGCTACATTAGCAAGAATATGTGCAACATCTTCTTCATCACGTGTACTAGCTTGTTGAAGTGTCGTTGTTACCGTCGAATTTGAATCGACTTTTTTATGTCCATTACTTAAATGATATTGCAAGGCAATATCTGAAACAAATTGTTTATGACATTGGGATTCCGGACATGATATTAATTGTTGTTCTTGATTTGTTGATGGAAAAAATGTGGTATTTGTTGGATACGGTGATGTTAATGGTGATGAATTATTTGTTGATAATTCATCAATAGTATTTAGATTTATTCGTTTTGATTGCCGAGATTTAATATTGTTTCGAAGTTTTCGATCTTCAGATCCTGAGATATGTATATTGGATGACACATGTTGATAGTTTGAGGGTGTTTGGTAATATGAACATCGAGTAGTTCCACCGGCAGTAGCACGTTTTGCACGACTACTTTTACTACAATTACGAACGTCATAATCGCTAGTCGGTGATTCACATGTTAATCTATTTGAAAATAGTAACAATAAGAACATGAATTAGCATAATTTTGTTTTCTTCTACCTAGGACAAGCCCAATCTTGTTTTGTTGAATCTAATAATGTGCCCACATAAGTTTTCCCTCGCCAAGTTACATTAACAACGAGTACACCTAGACAAAAAGAAAAATATTTACGAAAACTTAAAATTCATTAGCAAGAGACTTTTTCTTATTCTACTGACAAGGTCAATCCTTGAAACAACAACCTATACTTTACATACAGGTGAGATAGGTGAAATTAATCTATTGAAAACAGAGAGGTTTTGCTTATCATAAACAATTGATGCGTATCAATATTTATGATTAATTGATTTTGTATCTTATATATATATGTGAATGTATGTATATATATACAACTATTAGCTGAGCCGGAAAATAGAAATTTGCCGATGGCTATAGAATATCTTGACGAGAGGAAAAAAGCTTCCATCCATCATCAAAAGACATGATGATAAGATTGCACGCACACGCACACTTATTCATTGAGGAAAGAATACGGCATGTCTTGCGTTGTTCTGTGACAACATGCCATATGACAGAGAGCGGGGAAACACTTGCATGCAAGAAAAAAAGAGGAAAAAAAACTTCATTCGTTCTCTTTCATCCTTGTCATCAATAAAGCGCACACACATAAATATATAAAAACACAGTAGGAGCATCTGTTTAGGTTGATTATTTATGACCGATGTTGCAATGCGCACACATTCATGTGTACGATTATGATTATTATTATTTTTATTATGCTGATGATGATCTACCAGCTATTATGATTGCTTACCATTGTCAGTTTCATTCCAAACGATGCCTTCTAGAATAACGCTAGTACCCTAAAAAGAAAAGAATAGAATATTATCAAGAAAATGAGATTTAGCAGACAGAAAGGCGTACGGGCTCACAGGGACCAAGTTGATCAGGTTCAGTAGCTAGACCAATAGAGACTGTTTCAACACTAGCATCCACTTTAGTTGTTGATGATTGCTTAAAAAAACGAAACAGAAAAAAAGCTCCTTTTGTTTTCATATGCCTTTAATGTATTTGATTTCATCGTTGATAATGATGAAAAACGATTCTTTCTTTTTTTACAACTTACGTTTAAATCATCTTGTTTAAAACGCTTTTTCGATGACATGTCATCGATATTTGGATTTAAATCATTATTATTATTATCAATTGTTACAGAACGTTTTGTTGATTGTTGTTTACCATTAAACGCAGGTGATGACGGTCGACGTATTGTTTGATTAGTACTAGGACGTTTTAAACGTTGATTATGTGTTGTTAAACGAGAGTTATCATTATTATTGTTATCATCGTTAGCCATTGATAATGCAGTTGAACTAGTATGATTAGATTGCTGTTTAGTTGTCTGCCGCTTGATTTTAAGTATGAGCGGTGTTGATGATAAGCTATTATTCACAACATTTTGATTAGATAGTTGCTGTTGTATATTCGACGTTATTGCTGTTGGACGTTGCTCAATTAAAAGATTCATCGTTTGACAAGCCACCTCATGTTGTTGTTACCTTATTTGGTTTTGATATTTATGTCTGAGTATGTATATAAGGTATTCCTAGAGAAAGAAAGAAAGAAAGAAAGAAAGAAAGAACAATAATAAATGCACATATGAATAAAAAAAAATAACACACGTATTGACAATTAAGGACGGGTCTGGATTAGAAGAAGAAAGTCATATGCGTATTACTATTGCTGCTACTACTACTACTGCTGTTACTGCTGCTACGATTTATTCCCTTCCCTTTTTTTCTTTCTGTTTTTTTCCTCTCGACGGGTCAGTCTATTTCACATTTGTGAAGAACAAAGAAAATATTAACATGACGAGAAAAAGAAAAAAAGAAGAAAAGACCCTTTGTCGTTCTACACACACATATATATATATATATATATTCTCTTTAGAGTGTGCATTTGCTTTCGGAGAGTGATGATTACCGTATCGCTTTTTTTTTCTCGTTTTCTTTTTCGTCTCCAGAGAGAAGTGAATGTGCCGATGCAGAAAAGATATTATTCTCCTCCTTTCTTCCTATCGTTCGTTTGGTCCCGTCGGAAGAAAGAAAGGGAAAGGAGAAGAAGAAAAAAAGAAGAAAAGTGTAGGTTCTCACTCTCCTTTCCTAATGCCTATGTTGTGTGTGTGTGTGTATGTCGTTATATGTTGTTGCAAGAGTTTTGGGCGGACACACGTTCTTTACTCGTTCGCTTTTATTTTCTTCTATAGTCTTTACCAGCATGCAAGCGGATTCGTGGCTGGCATACAAATGCTATTACTCTCGCTTTTCTCTAGTTTCTCATCCATTCATTTCCATGTCACTATCGCTCTTGTCAACAAGCCGTTACGGATTATGTTGACAAATTCGTCACCATACTGGGAAAGAGTAATCTTTATTTATATAGATAGATATGAATATATATACTTATAATCAGACTCACACTTTAGAATTCTTTTCTTGTGTCTCTCAATTATATTTCTTTTTTTGAAGAGATCCTTGGAATCTATTGAAAGAAACCTTGTTTTTCAATCGACATCTCGATTTCTCTTGTTTCAATGATAAAATATCAAGAGCAAAAAAAAGAGAAGAAAAGAATTGAATCTAATTCTATTTCCGATTTTGTCTTTGTCTAGATCGATGCACTATGTCAATATGTCTATTAATCGTACCGGCGACGTCTGTCTCTCTCTCTCTCTCTCTCTCTCTCTCCCATATGCCAATAATGATGTTTTTGAATCTTAATATTTTTCTTGTTTTGTGTACATAAGAAAAGAAACGAAGTGATAGTATATTCTATTTATATAACCTTTTATTATTTTTTTAGAAAAAATGTGAACTTCAGTTTTGATTGCGCTTATAAAAGAAACCATAATTGTATTTTATGCACATATTTTGTTTGTCACTATTCAATGTGACATAAAAGAAAGAAAAACATTAATTATAATCGAAATGAAAACGGAAATTTCATAACGACAGGAAACGGCGATGACGAAATAGACATGCATCACCTCGTCGACTAAAGAGACTGAATAATACAATTGACTTGACTTGCTTGATGGAATACATAAAGGAAAGCGAATTATATCCACTTGAATTAATAATGATGACATCAAAAAAATTTCGATGTAAACACAAAAAGACCAAACATAAATCATTATTAATCTTTTCTTGTTTGGTCATTATCATTTTGAAAAAAACGACATAGATCAAGTGACAAAACTGAAATCGATACACATTCTTTATTGTCATTATATAAATATTTCTTTTCTGGTTTTCTCATTGTTTGTCTGATGATGATGATGAGGATACATTAATAGTAATAGTAAACGAGAGAAAGAACGAGGAAAAAAAGAAGAGAATTTACACGAGAGTTATATGTCTCTTTGGGAATATCCAACATTCGACTAGAATATATAAACTGAATGAAAGATTATATACAAAAGCAATAAGAGGAATAACAAATAAACAAAAAAGAAGAAAAGAACAGAACAGAAACGAAACGAAACGAAACGAAAAGAAAGAAAAGACCCAATTCTTTTTACTAGACATCAGAGCACCTTGTCATACATGTTATACAGACACAAAAAGAGAACTAAATGAGTATCTGAACAAATATAAATTACAACCTAATGTTGTCATAATGTCGATGATGAATTTAAATAGATTTGTGCTGGAATTGAATGATAAGATGAAGGCGATGATGTTGTTGGAGATAATTTATTAAACGAAGGTAAACCTAATGGATTTGTCGAATTTTCTAATGAAGAAAAATAGTCCGATGTTGTTGACAAGGGAAATAACATATCGTTACTGAAATGATATGGTTGCACCACCATTGAGTTCGATGTATTTTGTTCAATATTAACATTTATTTTTGAATTCGATAAATCCATCGGTAACGATGCTGATTGATTTTCAATGTTATTTGATAGTAATGGACTTGATGATGTTGTACTTGTGCCACTAGTCGTTGGACTTATGCTTCGACTTGAAGAATAACTATCAGCTACTTCGTCGTCAGGATTAGGTAGATTTTTCACGTGAGATTTATCGTCCGATATAGAATTAATTTCATCTTCTGTTACATCTATTTTTATTTGATTATCAGTTTTAGTTGGAGGAACATCAGGCATTTTAAATGAATTCATTTTCGTTGTTGCATTACCGATTACTGTTGTAGCTGAACCTCGTCGTTTACCATTGCGTAATATACGTTCACTTGATTCGTACGTTGACGGTAATTGATGATCACGATTAGGATTTTGCTTTATCGGACGAACATCAGATTTATATCTAAAATGAATTTCATATATTCTCTTTCTTTTATCTCATTTTCACAATCAAACGTTAACATACCGAGGTGGAGCCCAATTTTGTTCGGTTGTATTCATTAATGCGCCTACGTATGTTTTACCTGAAAAAGAAAAAAAAACATACGTATAAGCAATAATTAATATCGATGATTGTCATTTACCTCGCCAAGTAATATTGACTACAAGCACACCTAATTAAATTATATATATATATACATATATATATGATAAAAAAAATGCAATTTAAAGATTTTGTTATTTACCTTTATCAGTTTCATTCCAAACAATTCCTTGTAAAACAACATTTGTACCTGGCTCACACGAACCAAATGAGGATTCATCAGTAGATGATGCTTGGTCCGTAGTTTTTGATTTTGATTTTGATTTTTTGTTGCTATTATTAAATAATTCATCGTCGGACTTTTTCATACGTTTATTTTTCTTCAAAATAAAAAATAAAAGTTAATAAGAATACTTAAATGAATCAATTGACAGATTTACACAAATATTCTCTTTCATTAGGATACGTATTTGTACGACGACAAATAGCAGACCGACATAGGACAGGACAAGAAAAAGAAATAAAGCAGCTGCAAGAGTGTATATACTCATGAAGAAGAGTAAATAGGCACAACATACACACGCACACATCAAGATATCATTATCCCTCGGGGGATGCCGCGTATGTGAAAGAGAAATAAAGATTGAATTTCCTTTCTCTGTTTTGCGCTTCAATAGTCTTCTTATATCTTACCTTTTTCTTCGAGATTGCTTGTTCTTTAGTAATATTGTCATTATTTGTATCATTAATAATATTTGATTTACGTTTACGCGATGATGTTTTTGTTGTTTTAACTTTAAACTCAACAGTTGTTGTTGTTGTCGTTGTTGTTGTTGTCAATAAAGTTGTATCGTTTTCAATATTATTATTATTATCTGATACTGAAATTTCTTGTTTTATTGTATTATTACAATCAATAGAATTGTTCTCTTCTTGATAGTGATTATTGTTTATATCCTCGAATTTTTCTGATGTCGAACTTATTAATAAATCATCATTATTTTTAGTACGAGGCAATGAAAAACGAAGTCGTTTATTAGAATTTGAATGTAATGGTGGTGAATTGATCATCATTATATAGGATTAAAGAAAAACAGATGTCATCTAAAATAATCAATAAACATATCATAGAATAGAATTCTCAAAATATAGGAAAAAAGAAAAAGAAAAAGAAAAAACAGCAGCTGGACTTTTCATCCTGATTCGCATACATCTATATACAGTACACAAATGATTGCCTTTTACATTCTCTCTCTCTCTCTCGCGTTGCCTTCTCGTTTCTTTCGCCGCCATTACTGCACAAGAATAGCCACTTCACGCACACACACTTTTCTGCTCTCCTTTTTTTTTCCTTCAACACAAACATAATTTATAGATCTACTCGCCCTTTGCGCTCTCTTTCTTTCTCTTATACGTATTTAACGCTTGTCGAACACTTGAGTGTATACAATTACAAATTCGCTAGACCTTTATGTCGTCCATCATGTGATAGTGTACATACACGATGAACTCACCTCGTTCTTCTTATGTCTCTATGTTCATTTACTGCAATCAATGCTTACGTATATATATATATATATAATATATGCATATGTGTATAACTAATAGTAAAAAAAAAGAGACTATTAAAAAATATTCATCGAGCAACGTGAATGCTTAGAATAACAATTGACATCAAGTAGAAGTATACGATAGGTTATAGTGACTAGAAATAATTCACATAACATATATTGAAGAATGAGCACTCCCCATTCTATTGCTTTTTGGTCTCGATTAGTCAACTTCTATTGTTAAAAAGGCATACTGTTGCAACTTGAATATTAGTAGACATCGAACAAATATTGAATTTCAACCTTATCCTTTCCTATATTACATATAAAAAATATAACATGTATGACTCGTTTTATTATAGATTTTTTCTTTTTTTTTTATACTTGCGAATAATCTATGAAAGGAGAAACAAAATATATCAATATGTCAGTTAATATAGAAAATAACCCTGCACATAATCGAAATCAAGGTGAAACATATATATTCGATCAATGTTATCGTTTGAACGGCAAATTGTTAGCTAGCAGTTTTTGTATATATATACAAGCAGTGATAGCAATATGTGCACCTATTCTTCTCGATTATATCACATACACATTGAACGGATTAGCTCGATTAGTAATACTGCTGGCGTGTCTCTCGTGACATTTAGTTCTTTTGCTCGTATGTGCGGTCTTTTTTTAAAGTTTTTTTTTATAGACACGATAAATGGGTTGATTAAATATTGATTGTATATACACACAACATTGATGAAAAGAAAAGGAGATGATGGCAGCATGACAACGTATAAGAAAGAAGTCACTAAGCTACAGGAACTTTCTTTCTCAAACTGAGCAACAAACATCAGGCATGCCGATATTGTTGATCTTTTCATGTCAATGACACTCGCGAGCTCGTGCGCAAGCGCTAATTATAATAACCTTCCGCAGTAAACAAACTGTTTTCATTTAGTTATTTTCTATATAAAAACCAGTGACACTCTTTCCGCTTAGAAGAACACAAATTGTTACTCTCCGAATTCATGAGTTTATGTTCATTCGGTTGTTCAATATGAAATTAATTTTATTATTCTCGAAATAAAGAGACGTAATAAGAAGAAAAAGTATATCGCTACGCTACTATTATATCGAAATAAAATTATCTTTGTCCGACATCAATTTATATATATATATATATGGCCTTATTTCATTGAAATACAACTTACAATCTTTAAGATCAAACGAAATAAAGTTTTGTACGAAAATTTTGTCTAAATATTGCACATCGTGTTCAGAGAAAAAGAAAAAAGAGGATGAAAAGAATACTACAACTACTGGCTTTTTACATTCTCTTATTGTTTTTAGACAGAGCAGAATCATTGAGAAAAGAGAGGCAACAAACACACATTGTGAGCAGCGATGATGGATAAGAACGAGAATTGAGATTAAAACTAAACGAGAAAATAACGACTATAATGGATGGGAGAAAACAGCCGTTATGATTTCAACAAACAAGTAATTGTAATGATGCTGTTGCTATTGCCGCTTTTATTCAAAAGACATATCGTTTCACACTCGAAAGACAATTGACACTTACTGTCACGTATACATCGATGATAAACGATGTAGACACTTACGTGTTGAAATAACGATGAAAAGATTTAACTGAGTTCAATAACAAATTTCTTCTTCTTCTTCTTGATCGTAGACGACTACACACACATATTTATACAATTAAACAATAGAGAACAATATAGTTCAAACAAGAACAGTCAGTTGTCATCAAGTAATCATTACGTGCATGCCCTTTTAACTCAATTGACAGACAGACACAAGTAACTCTCAAGAGACATGATTCGAGTATCAAAGAAATTAGTTATCATTCGATATAGCCTTGAGGGTAGAGCGTTACATACATGCTGACGTATCGAATAATAAGAATGGCGAAGTATTAAAGAAGATTGTATGTATTTGTATTACACAATCGTTATTTTATATGTTCCTACAATAGAATGTAGTAGCGCTTTTAATCGATAAAGAGAAAAGAAAAAGAGAAGAAAATATTGACATACAAAAAAAAAACCGAACCAAAGCAGACAGATGCTTGAAAATAGTCAACTGAACTTGAGTAGTTATAATTAATTATTAGTTATGTGTTACGTGCTAGCGATGTCTTGGCGTCGTTATCATATTGCTCTTGCTTACCTCTCCATCGTTTTTGGAAGCAAAAAAAAGAGAAAAAAAAGAAGAAAAAGAATAGCAAGCAAGCAAGCAGTAGCTCGTTTGTTTGTCATCACTTTTATGGCATGCAATAGAAAAAGAGAAGTCTATTTATGTGGATAAACGAGGATTTGATGAAATATGACTTACGCGTGCAGGCAGATGTAGTGAGAAGGAAAAAGATATACTTTTTCACCGTAATTATATAAATAATAATAGACGGTTAAAATGAATACAATACACCATCTTGACCTTTTTCCTTTGTTCATAGAAACATATTGAAATCTATTCCCCTCTTTCTCTCTCTCTCTCTGGTTTTTTTTTCTTATAAGATAATCAACGGAAACAAGTACAGTAAGTTAATACTAATCTTCGGTCTTGCAGTATGCGTCTATTTACAAGTATGCATATTACGAGAAATAATATGATCTTTGCGTACAAAGCGTAACTCGCCTACCAAAAAAAAAAGAAAGCAAAAAAACGATCGAAGAAGCAGAAGAAGACAGAGTAAACTATTTTGTTGCCGTCAGACAATTGAATCTGATCAAGTCGAGTATTTCTATGCAACACATCACTGTTCATGAAGAGTAAAAGAGAACTGACTAGATGAGAGTTCACACTGGAAATGCAAAGTTAATTGTTACTATTTCTCTATTTTCTCGTTTTTCTTTTCTTTATACTCGAGAGAATTATTGTCTGCCGTCATCTAAAAGAATATATATTTATATTCTATACGATCATTTCTCGGTTGATTAACTAGCGAAAAATAAAACTTCGCATTGCATTGCTTATTAGCGAGTAATAGTATGGGTAATCTATTGTCAAATCATCGAATCAGATACACCTTTATAACTATGTTTGATTACTTATTTTAAACAAGAACATATAATATCGAAAAGAAAATGACTTGTTCATTATTATGATTGATCTTATCATATTCTATACGACGGTTGCAATAAGGAAAAAGAAACGGGCAAGTATACAGTCAAGATCAATGATGTTTAACAAAAATGTATTCGTTTGCCGCTTACGTCAATGTAGATGAACAGGTGAAAAAAAAGGATGACGACGAAACATGTATACACACATGTGAACAAAAAAGAAAAAAGAGAAAAAATCTAAATGAGAATGTGTATGTGTGTAAAATGCATCACTTCTACCAACTGACTGACTACCGCCTGCAGCGATGATCAAGATGAAAATGATTAACATTCATTCAAATAATGAGTCAGTCTGTCCGCATGTATGTATGTGGCATGTGATGATGATGATGACATGCTATCGCGAAGAGAAGAAAAGAGATAGATCACGTACATGACAATGACAATAGGAAGAAAAGCAAAACGAGCATATTATAGTGCATAATAAAATAGCTTCTTATCGTGATTACTAAATACTATTTAATCAAGACAAATAAATATAGATTTACAAAAGAAAGTTTTATCCATTCTGGACATATCTCAAAAAGTGAAAAGACAGAAGAAGAAAAAAATGAAAATCACATGAATCAACATGCACTGTATGCATAGTATTAAATTCAACGTACAAAATCATTTTACTTAAAACATCAGAAAAGAAGAAAAAGAAATGCATGTCAATAATGAACCATTTTCAATCGAATAGAGCCTACGGGTAACGGTCATGCAATGTACTAGTATAGCCAGTAGACAATGTTGCTCTTCGGTTCTTTTCATTGATTGATAAATCAGATCGACTGCTCTTTTTCTTTCTCTATTATGATCTACGTATCGCCATCAACTATTCCGTTTGCATCTGGATGATGTTTATTTTTCTTAAATTTATTTGACTTCTTTTTAGTTCAATAAGAAAAAAGAAACAACAATTAAACGGACAAGAAAGAAAGAAAAAATAAGAAAAATCTTCAATAAGAGCACCTTTGATTTCTTGACTAGTTTTTCATAAATATATATCTACATGTACATTGGTTATATATATATATATATATGGGATCGCTATTATTTTGAAACTCGTTTTGTTGTACTAGAAATAAAAGAAAAAACACGTATGATTAATTATAACAGTATTCTATGTATGAAAATTTTCTTTTGTGCCACATCTACTGAACTATATTATATATATATATATATATCGATATCATCGGAGAGAAAAATCTACTGACATTATCATTCCTAATAACTATGAAACAGACAATTTACTTTGTCATGCTTTCTTCTCGGACATAGAATAAGAAATGTGAATTACATGCTACTGTAAATATTGCCAGTGATGTCGATAAGATATGTAGCTGCTATATCATGGTTGAAGTTATTTGAGGTCAACTACTACATCATAGATAGCAATCAATTGATTGATGGCTTTCTTATTAAAATATATAATTAGAATCTATCGTTCATTTTGATAGTGCAAGTCAAATTTTCCCCAACGACTGAAAACAAAATCGTATGTTTAAGAACATTTCGATCTTCAATATATAACAATCATCTTCGTCTCTATTTGCTGTTGGATTTAGACGATGTTAGATAGGATGAGTAAATAAGATTCGATGGTAAACATAGTTTGAAGTATCATTTCAATTTATAGTTTATACGTAGAAAATCATTGATATTAAATAATCGAAAAAAAAACAGCAACAACACCAACACGATCCTTTAGTCTACATAACTTAAATTTTATTTTCATAACAATATCAGATATACAGAAGAAGACAAAAAGAACAAATATATATAATTTCTGTTTTTTTTTGCTTTAGAATTCCTTCGATGATAATACAATAACAATCATTGATTGATTATATTACGTTCACATTGATCTTATAAATATTTTATTTTATTCAAATATGAACAATATTTCTTGACATGAACTGTAAATTCAAGTGATACTTCAAACGATGACTAAAATCAATTTTATTTACTGAAACCATTTAACATCGTCGTAACTCAAAGGCATTATTGTACTCGGGCTTCGCAATTCTTCTAAACGTGTAATGCTCTTTTTTTCCTTATTCTTCTACTTCTTCGTATTTACATATGAGACATTGCTACGCAATATAAATTCTATATAGAAGAAGGTCGTCAATCAATTGATTTCATGTGGTTGATCTTCAATTACTTCGATGCAGCACGTACCATTGTCAAAATAAATTTCGCTATCAGTTTATAAACATATGAAATTCAATGCCTTTGCTTGATATATTGACGAAAAGCAAGCAGCAAATCGACCTTACTGCATTGCTGGCGCTTCCAAAAAATAAAAGGATCTTTATGACATTTTCTGGCTCTGCATGCAAATAAAGTTGCATAGGTCTGTAATTCGGGGGAGAGAATTTCAAGGCAAATGATTAACACTAGGCTAAGTTATGAGTTTTGATTTAACAGATACCACGAACTCGTATGTCAAGACTATTCAAATGCAAGTATTTGACATCACGATTTTCTTTTTTTTGTAATACAGACAACCCTGAGCCTGAACTACTGAATAAGGGGATTAAAAATGCTAAGAGTAGATTTATTTCTTACATTGAAATATCGTTGTCTCATGAAAAATCAAATATTGACCTTCTAACGCCTCCACATGAAAATTTTCTCACAATCAGACTTCACTTATGATTCCTAAAATAAGCAAACTCGTTATTGTGCAAAATGATGAGACACTTAATTCTATTTGATTTCTGATTTTTTTGCATGAAAAAATCTTTTACCGTTTCGATGATGAAATTTTTCGCTTTCGACTAAAAAAATGAAAAACAAATAGAAATTTAAATTTATAAAAATCCGAAAATAGAAAACCTTTTTTTCTCATTTTCTTTTTCTTCCTGTTGCATTTGTTCTTCATCTTCATCATCATCATCATCATCGATTGTTTCACTTGAACTCGATGGTGGTTCAATAGCACGAGAACGCTGACGTTTTTTCGTTGGTAAATTTTTCTTTTTTTTTCTTGTATTTTTCTCATCATCTTCATCATCAGCTGCTACTGTTGGTGTTATAGCCATTTCACTAAATTCAGTTTCATTATCAGTATCATCATCACCGGATGGCATTGTTTCATCTTTTTTCTTCGAACGTTTTGTTACTTTTTTTTCTTTATAAAAATCAGGCAAATAAGATTGTGTATTTAAATTTTTCTAAAACAAATGAGAAGATAACAAAAAATACAGAAAACTAATATTCAACATACGAAGTTTGGCTGTGTAAAAAGAAGTGGTTCACCGGATAGATTATTACGAACATCAGCAAAATCATAAGCTTCGAGTGGTGACAAATCAGCAAATGTTGCTTGAAATATATCGACAACCAAATAGATACGCTAGATAAGAGAGCAGAATAAAGTATGATTTTATTTTAACTTTGAAACATTTTCATACATGATGAAGATCGTCATCAAGCGGATCGGCTTTTGAACGGCTATGTTTTATTGAATGAAGTAATTTTGGTATAGCACCATGAAATCGTTTATTAGTTTTTTCACGTGCTTGTAACATAGTGCGTAAACTCCATTTAACAGAACTAGAAATTATCATAGAAAACAAAGAGTGAAAGAAAACGATAGTAATATTTACTTGGTTATTGATTCAAGAACTTCTCGATCGATTTCAACAATAAGACTTCGATTATTAGCATGTAAATAGACCATTAATGATATGCTTTTTTCTGGTAATAACCGTTGCATCGTTTCAACTAAATTAACCGCAATGAAATACTGTTGAGTCAACGAAAAAAATCTTCATCGGATCTAAGGAAAACAAAAGGATCTGTCTACTCGTACAGATCTAATGGACCGTTTTGTTCTGTTTTCTCGTTAGTTTTTATGTGCTAAATATACGTTGGTCTCATTCAGATTTTGAGTGAGATTCTTATCGGTCGATCTCACTTATCTACTGTACCTGATCCTTTTGACGCTAATAAATATAAACGTTCCATAACTGATTTAAGATTTTTTCCCGTTAATACGTCATCGTCATCATTGGGCACGGCAATGGTAAAACCAAGAAATAGAACAGATAATTTCCATTGTGCTACTTTATTTAAAATACGTTGAAGAAATCGATGACGAACATGAGAATTTTGATGCTAAATTTCATTGAAAAATTATTCCGTTTACACGTTTTTTTTGTTTATTTAAGAAACTCTTACTGTTGCAGCAGTAAATAATTCAACGTAATCAGTTGGTGCAAAACTGTGAAAAACTTCAGGAATTTCTAACATACGAAGTACTTCAATCGATGCTTGCAATTGTAAATAATGTCGACCAATTCTGAAAGAAAGGAAATCGATTTTTTTTTGAATGAAAAATAAAATAATATTAACTAACTCATTGTTAGGAAATATAAAAACATCTTTAATTAATTTAAGTAAAAATTTCATAAGTAAATTAATTGTATCAATACGATCTTCATCATCGGCATCTTCATTATCATCATCATCATCATCATCGTTGTCGTTCATAAACGACTTTCCGTGCCGCTGTACATGAATACAATTTGTCGAACGCGAAAGAAATTTCAATTGGTTAGCCTAAAGAAATTTTTCATCAATATTATTCAAAATTCTATTGTGTGTATTTTCTTACTCTCATTTGAATATCATTAGAAACTTCATCAAATGATTTCATGGGTGCATCGGTATTTTTAGGCTAAATTTTAAAAAAAGATAAATTTCTGCAACTACAGAATACTTCGAATTTTACATTTGGAAAATGACGTAGAATCACTTTGATTATTTGTTGTAGAATATTAAACATTGTTCGTGTTGATGGTGCATATTTAACTATATGACTTAGTAATAGCCATCGATACGGTGATGCTGAACCGTCTGTTGACCACCACGATGTTTTTGTCTAAAAATACAGGATATTTACGTTTGCGAGAGACGATTCCATTACAAGATCTTTGATAAATTTGAACTTACTTTGCCAAATAGATCGTGTGTAATAATATGTTCTAGTTGTTGTTCATTTGATCCAACAATAGGTACGAGTGCCCGCATAGCCCATTTACCCATTGTTGTTGTATCACCTTTGTTAATTGCATCGACAAGAACATCGACAAGACGACTATGGTTGTCAGAGGAAAAACAATAATTACTTAACAACAATTATCAGTTTTGGTTTTACTCGATAAGCGCAGTTTTTATTTGACCAGGACCGAGAAGTGCACCGAACTCAGCTAAGATACCAAAAACAAATGTACCTAAAAATAATGAAAATCTAAATAGAATCAAGTTCATCTGCTTGAAATTTACTCAGTATTGGTCGGTTTTCATCGATAATTTCAATAAATTTTTCTAAAATTTCAACATCCATGAAACTATCAAGATATGTTCGAAGAACCTTAATCAAATGAATAAAAATGAGATACAAACATTTGAAACAATAAAAATTTACTTTTGTTAATTTTCCCATTTGTTTAATACAACGATGTTGATGTTGTTCATTTTTCGATCGATTTTCTGTTGATTTCAATGAAGCAGATTCATTCTCATCTTCGTCGTCATCCTCATTATCATCGTCCTCATCAGTCGGTTCATCTAATTTTGCTTCTAAATCAATTATCCATGTACGTATGTATATATCAATGTCACATGAAGCCTTACCTTCATTAAAATAAGATTGTGCACATAATGGAAATTCTTGAAGAAAGTCATGTGAGAAAACAATGGATACACGACTAGCTAAACGATCTTCAACAAGTTGTATAGCTTCATTAATAGTTGCTGTTGAATCATCCATATGAATTGTCTAAATTACACAGAGAGATGAACACATGTGACTTTCTTCAAAATTTGAATATGAATAAAAACAAACAACTAAACTAACTGTTTTAGAAAATGTTGTATCAACCAGTGCCGATTGATCGAGCGTCAATGATGAGATTGATTGTAGTTTTTCTCTTGCTTTCGGTTCTGATTTTATTATCCATTCACGTAATTTTTGTATGCCCTGTTCTTTCGGGGTAAAGCATACTAAATAAAATAATTGTCATAATGCTGATCAACAAAAGAAATCTTCTAAAGTCTGGCCTAAGAAAATGTTCTATCAATTTGAAGACTTCCATTATAGATTACTAAAGAAAAGGAAACATTAATTACAATCACTAATTTTTTGTAAAATCTGGTTAAGTGTTGTACGTTCATCATTATCATTTTCATAATCTAATTCTTCCAAATCAGGTGTTAAATCTTCTTCTTCATCTTCACTTGTACTCATCTTATTACGACTTGTCTCAGTTGTTGTACAACATTTAACTAAAGCCTTGTGTAAAAGTGATCGTAATCTAAATGAATTAAATTTCAAAAAAATTATGTTTTCATTTTATTTTATGTTAACCATACTCCGATTGAGTATGAAGTAATTGGCCGAAATTTCTAGAAACAAAAATTCAGTGTATTAAACATATTAAGCCAGAATTAATATTTACTTCACGCCTTCATCGCCCAAATCCGATTGTGCGAAAATAAAAAATTGACGAGTTCGCTCGTCAATTCGATAGTGTTCAAAAATAATATTTTCAAAAAATCGTGTTTGTGATTCAACACTATAGATCAAGACAAATAACCTATCGATTCATCAACGTTTTTCTTTCTTTCTATGCTTACCGAACGATCAAATCTGGATGTTTAATAGCTGTATGAAGAACAATTCTTGGTACAGTATCAAGACGTGAACGAGTTGGTGAAGGATATGGATCCTTAACATAATAAAGACGATATAGATAAGCTATAGTATCGATAGAAGTGATTGCTACAGATGGCTAAAAAAATTTAGAATAAAACTTAGTGTCAAAAACATTATTTTATGTTCTTACTATTGAATGATTACATCCAGTTAAAAGTAAATGAAGAAGAGAATCTGGTGCGGCATGATAACATTCTTTGATTGCCAAGCTAAGTTGATCAACAAGAACAATTAAGAGATGAGACGATATCATTTGAAACTCGAAACATTTTTTTAAATCATCTAAAAGAAATTTTATTGAAAAGAAACGAATAATTTTTGAGAAAACAAATTTACCGATGAGAATATTCGTTAGATAAGTTTTTCGTAAAAGATATTTTGAAAGATTTTCAATAGCGATTCGTTGAGATTCCGAATCTTTTTCATGAAAACTAAAAATAGTTGTAAATGGAATAAACTTCAAGTGTAAATATGGCTATGTTTTATAACAATATAAATGAAAATTCGACAGAAAACATTCAATTTTTAACTTGTAACATATAATTATGTTAGACACTCATACATTCTTCTGATGAGTAAGAAAGACGAATTTATTTCTACTAGAGGACAAATTACCTTTTACGAAACTCATCGAGAACATCTCGACTTAATTCTTCTCTTATGGTATATGTTCCTATAAGAACATCAACTATGAAACGAATACCAATTTCTCTTTGGTCTGGATTTGGATTCTAAAAATATACAAAAGAATGAATTCGCTATGTTGTACTCCACTCTTTCGTATTTACTTTTAGAAATGCTTGATGCATAGTAAGAATCGGTGAAATTATTTCAGGAATATGTACATGAATAATACGAAATAGATCATAACTTTCTTTTAATTTACGTTTAACATTTGAAGCGAATGCATCAAGAAATAATTTTCGAAAATACTAAATCAATGAAATATACAACTAAATCAATAGTCTTTAAAAACTATGAGAACAAACTTCGCTGGTTGCTATTTTGAAGCCAAGATTTATTTTAGCAAGAAGCCGTTCGATGAATTTATATAGATCAGAATGTTCTTCAACATCAATTTCCTAAAAAAGAGAACCATGAACAGACTTTTATCAGAGTATTTTGCAGTGAACTAAATATTTTCTCTGATTTCTTTTATTTTTACAGAAAAAAGTCAAATATGGATTCGCATGATTCTCTAAAAAAAAGATATCTATAGAGATTTTCCACATACCTTTTCCTGTCCTAAATTTCAGATACTAAACTAACAAATTATCTCGTATATTGTTTAAAAACACTCATACGATACTTGCTGTTTCGTTTCTACATCATATTTTTACATGTCAACCATAATAACGTTCGATTTATATACGTCATGTAGATCTTAGTGAGCTATGAATAGTCTTGTCTTATTAGACATGTTTTAATTCTTTTCTTTTTTTTTATTTAAAATTTTTATATAAATTGTGACGTTTCGTATCTCGATAACATACTTCATCAGACATAAAAATTTAAGACAGATTTTTCTTTTCTTTTAGCGTTAGTCATACTTTTGATAGGGATACGAAAAACAAGACGGTAATAGTAATAGCTAGCTAAGGATTGAATCCTTTTCCGTGCTACTATCAAAAGTATGGCTAAAGAAAAGAAAAATTTGTTTATATGTACATATGTCTTAAATTTTTATGCCTGATGAAGTATTTTATCGAGAAACGAAACGTCATAATTTATATAAAAGATTTTAATTTAAATTAATAAACTATGAGATCAGATCAAATTAAATTGATTTAAATTTTAAATAAAAGAAAAGAAGAGAATTAAAACATGTCTAATATATCAACCTTCTTAACAAAACAAGAATAGTCTTGTCTTATTGCTACTTCGGTAGTAAAATTTTACAAGCTTGTTGTATGTCTCACGACCACTAAATCTACTTTACAGTTCCCATCGACAACAAAGACTTAATGTCCACGTAAGTAAAACACATGTGTAGCTCAGCACTTAAGATAGAGAAGGGTTATATCTCTCCGCCATGGTTTGGTTCTTCTTACTTTCAGCTCTAAAGATACAGATAATCGTGTCACTGTCAAAAGAAAACTTTTACGTCTAACATCGTTAAAATAATTTACTGGTGAATTTTTTCATAACTCGATCAGTGCAGGTAAAAAGTACTACAGAGGATAATGATTGTCGTTATTTGAAACTAATTGGGACATTTAAAAAATGTACTGAAGACGCTTTTTTACCTGAAGTAACGGCTTGAAAAAAACATCAAACGTTTGTGGATCAGTACCAGAATGTAATGCCCCATAAGAATTGACAATATCTGATGTAATATCAACAAGTGATTGCCAAATTGCACTGTATTCTGGATTACTAAAGTCATGAAATAAAATCGTTTTTAAAATATGTAAGAAAACAAAGAATTTAACCTGGCTAAGTCGCAAGAAAATTGAACAAATTTAATAATTGATTCATTAAGTTTTTCTGATCGTTGCTTATTTGTTTTTTTATAATCTGTGATTTGTTTATGAAGTTGAAAAAAATCCTAACGAATATTAAAACAACAATTCAAACTTGATACCAGAAATAAAAATAAGAATTACTTTTCCTTTTGATTTTAATGCTTTTGTTGTTGAAAAAAATGACTTTATATCCTCAGTTGGGTCCGACATCTAAAATGAAATTTTTCTATACTTAGTTTAGATTCATATTCATAAAATTTAGATGTGATTTTACACAAAATTTCGTTTTTTCTTCTTTCCAACCTAATTTTTCAGTTAATTCATTTTTTTAAATTACCCAATCAAACGTAGATATAGCAGATGGTGTTAAAAGGTGTCGCGATGTTTTTGAATGAAATAGTAACACGTTTCATGGCGTATAAGCTCTATACATTATTCGTTGAGAACCATAAAAATTCAGTTTAAAGGGAAAATTACTTTTGACAATTTGAAACAGTTTATTAAAAATGCCATTAAATAACTGCAACGGAAATAAAAGCTGATGTATTTTAAATTCATTAATTAAAGGAAACATTCTCACTATTGGAATTACATGACTTCAATTAAAAGCCAAATCCATCCCATTCGTTTGATTAAAATGTCACTTTTGATCAATGGAGTTGGCACGTCTCAATTTTTATTTTTTGTGTTTCAAATTGGAGACTGATCTCTTTTCTACGGTATGAAATGAGACTCAAAGATTGTCAAAACGATCATTTAGCAATAGCTGATATGATTGATGATGTCTTCTTTTCTCCAGAGGACTCGAGAAAGTCATTTAGATAGTCATACTATTCTTTAATCAAATCTTCATTATGGGAAATCGACTTGTTGCTTTTCTCATTTCCTGAATTTAGGATAAGTTTTTACACGCTTCAGTTCGTTGAAATTTAGTTTTAGAATCTTTGATGAACAAATGTAATTGCTGTTTTTAAATTAGAAATCCTACAAAATTGTAGCAGCATTATTCAACTGAAAAGTCTCATTAAATGGAAAAATTCTTTCAAGTTTCTATTGCTCTGCTAAAGACAAATAGAATGTCAGTGGCGTTGCAATTGAAATAAAATACAACTTTGAAGTTAAGTTTACAGTCAAAAAATTTCGATCTAGATTCAGAAAGAACGCAAATTCTTGTAGCTATCTCACACTTGTGATTTTGTTCTTGCTTTGCAAAGATCTTACTTGAATTACAACAAATATTAGGAGTGGGCACAGATAAAACGATTGAAATTCATGTTGACGATCGTACCACAAATATCGGCACACTCTCCCACTCAGATCAGACGCGCTCCTGATCGTCTTTACAATATCAAAAAAAGAAAATAACACTGCAATGAAACACGATCACACAATAAAAAGTCGGATACATATAGTTTCCCTATCTGTATATTTACAACGAGACTGAGAATTACTTCAAGCTTTTCATGAATATCTCAATAATTACCAACAATAGTTGTCGTATTATTTAACAAATTTACTATGAAGTCCAAGAGAATTTTCAGAAGCGTGATTTTAATGGGTTCGAATGGGCGCTACGCAATGAATTCTTCGTTTTCTTTCGGCATATTATCTAGAATCAAGCGTAGAAATTACATATAGGTCATTCGAATGGCGCTAAAACAAGCTGATGAGACGGTCATAAAATGTTCCCATCTTTACTTATTTTTTCTGAGCGGACAAACAACGAGCGAAAAAGTTGTGAACACTTGCAACATTAGTTAGCTTAATTATCGCGAAATAAACGGTCACGATCATCGATGAATCTTATCATATTGCTGCGTGATAAACATATCAAGATTGGAATATATTGGTGTTATTTATGCTAAAGTATGAGGCTGCAGTCGTTCTTCACTAGTGGCTATTACAGAATATTTATTGTTAACAGGGATGATAGTTTTCTTTCAATTCAATTGAGTCTTCTGAAATGAAAGTTTTTCATGCGTAGACACACGAATTTCTTGATTTCTAGCTTCTGTTTCTCTGAGAATTTGCTTTAAAATTTACTTCTTTATGACTTTCTCTCTCGTTTCAATAACTATTTAATTAATTATCGTGGCAGTTGCTGTATGTGTTTCTGCAACTATCTTAACTATATCATATTATTCTGTTGATTATCGTACTCTCATTTTTATGTTTCGAAAAATAACGTTTTACTTCGTAAAGTATTCTTATGGCCAAAGAACTAAGGCAATTCTAAAGTACTGTTAGTTTTTAATGGCAACAACGAATTGTGCAAACTATGACAGTGCGAATGTGTGAGTTCATCGATGACGAATGTTTGCAGCATTTTTGATTGGATAAAATGATGCTTTATATTTTTTTCGTCAGAAATATACTATTAGACCTTGAAATTACTAGTAGGAAATTCAGGACGTTTATGAGTGCCTTGCTTTTCAGCCTCAGTAATAGATCCTTGTAGCTAGAACAAGAGTGTAATTATGCCAATATTTGCCTCGTGATATCCATTTTGATGTTGTAATACATATTCAAACTATTTAATATTCTCTAGGAGAAGAAGCGATATTTAGCTGAACTCTGACACACGACATGATCTTTAACAAACATTGGGTGACGCAAATGAATTACAAATTCAGATTAGCCGATTCCAAAGTAATTCTGTATTGAACAATAACCAGTATAGCTCTTATGAGGACTACCACGGAGAATCAGGGTCTACCATAGCGAATCAGGGTCTGCCATAGAGAATCAGTGTCTGCCATGGTGTGGGTGTCACGTAGGGTATACACAGCAAGAGCACACACACACATCATACATGATAGTGTGGGTGTGATGAAGGGTGTACACAGCGAGAACACACACATCACAGCCCACATCTTTTTAGGACCTTTGTAGACCCTAGTAGACCCTGGTAGACCCTGATTCCCTATGATAGACCCTAATTCCCTATGACAGGCCCTGATTACCAATGGCAGACTCTGACTACATTACATTTTTGAATTATTTTGTAATACATTTGTGTCATGAAGTCTTAACAAATAGTAGCGTTTCTCCGCTTTAATATCCGTTTAAGCCTGTAACTGCATACTAGTATTACGATATGTTAGAGTAAAATGTTTATGAGATCTAATTGAATTGAACGAAATATGCAACTGATACTTCCTGGTTCCAATGGTTTTTTATGCGAAGACACTTTATAAAATGAATTGAAATCTAGTTCAAGAAATGCTTGCGGTGAAAGACATGAAGATTTACAACAAAAGCATTACGTGATAAAGCAAATTTGATCAGTAAGTTCCAAACGAATGAATAAGAAACTTCAAAACTTTCACTCAGTACTTGAAAGAAAAATGTAAACGCCTATGAAAAACATTGTTTTACTTTCTCTGAAGACAAAAAACGAATGAGAAAAAAGTAATATCGAACTAGAAGCGACAAATTTAAAACAAATCATTGTATTTATTGAAATAATACCCTTGGCATCATCAATTTTGTTTCATATTTTAGATGATCACGGCTAGAAGCTCAACAAAATATGTTGTGAATTTTTTTAGCTTCTTAGATATTCGAAAAAAAGATATATTCTAATGGTTATTTATGATCGCATGGGCGATCTCTTGCTATTGAGATATTTGCATGTTTATAATAAGCTTTCTTTTAGCCAAGTCATCTTCACTTGTTCCTATCTGAAATGACGTAGATTTGAGAAGAAGTTGACAAACATAGAGGCTATTCAGTTCGAATTCCATCTCAATACTCAAAAATAATTGAAAAATTTGCTAAATTATTAAAAGTCTGTGCACATGAATTCATGCGTCAGACTGCTGGTAAATTATTATTCGTAATTTAGCCTGATTTTGTAACACGATAAAAGGTCAATGCAAGATCAGTCAATCGTGATAAACCTAAACTAGTTTAAAGTGACTAATATGAACTCTACCTCTTGCTAAATTCAATAATTATGGCAAATAATTTGAACATTAAGAAAAATTTTAACGTTGATAGCGTTAGTTCACATGTGTTTACTGCAGAATAATCCAGTAGATCAATTGCAGAACATCGAACTTACATCAATTCCCCAATAAAATTAAGAATCGGACTTGCACGATGAAGACGAATCCGTCAATATAATGAAAAATCGACCAGAAGATCTTGCAGTGCAACAGAATGGATATTCATGCCAAGTTATTTAGAACATTACTGTGTGCTTATTTAATCATATGTATAAATAGTCAATAAAACTGTCAGTATATTTTATTGTAGAAGATTGAAAAAAAGAAAATATTTTGGTAAAGCAATCAATTCAATCAAATTTAGTAAAGTGGAAAAATGTTGAAGTCACCCATAGCCTATAATTATTCTGGGACACTCGATAGATATTGCTATTTGAGTCATAATTTATTTCAATAATGCAAAAATCTTTCACAATTCGCCAGCCAGACTAAATACGATAAGAAGAATTTCCAGTTTAGAGAAATATTAAAATGATAAATAGAAAATCATCATAAAGTATAATGCACAAACGAAAAAAAGTAACATTCTCATGAGAAGCAGCATGATTAAAAGAGCAATAAGTAAACAAGGAATAAAAATAAGACAAACGAAGCAAAACAGTACAAGTTGGAATGCATAGTAGTTGTGCTAGTTTTCTACTAGGAGCAAACTTCCTACATCTCAATCACACACTCACGCATAACTATCATGTTTCTCAACCGAAAACTGCTTGAAAAGCCGCATAGTTCTTGATTCATAGCAGAAAAACAGTGTAGATTAAGCTGATGAGTATGAAAAGTTCACGCACATGTATTTAAATAGATGCCCGCAGTGGAACTACCATAATTGGCTACAGCAAAATCAATTCTATTATCCCGATTAAAATCACCTACTATTGCAATTGCTGGAGTGTAGCCACTAGTAAGCGATACTAAACGTCCAAAGGCGCCATTCCCAGAGTCAGCTAGGACGCTGATAGCATTACCGTAATAATGAGGAATGACAATGTCCAACACACTGTCTCGATTGAAATCAGCTACAGCAGCCACATATGAACTTCTATTCGTCAGAGAATAGTTACTGTACTTCAGGAAACTGCTGTTGCCTTGGCCAAGAAGTACAATGATACTACGTCGATGTTCTATGAAAATTGAAATCAAAATCTGTTGATTCTATAGGTATCAGAAATGTTAGAGTTGATGGCTATCGTTTCGATGGTT